TGATTCATCTATCCTTCTGATTTGGAGCAAAGGTATGAAGAGTAGAAACACCAGCTGCTATCCTTATGCTATGTATCACGCATCTTTAGCCCAGGTCTCCCATTCAAAAGAGGCAAGCATAAATGGGCCAACACCATTCTTATGGTTGTCTCTAATCGGTCTGCTGAAATAGTACTGCAAGAAGTATTAGTAAAAAGGTATGAATGTTTTATCCTTGATAGCTTGAGGGAAAAGGTGGATGGTGATACGTACGGCAAGGTCCACTTTGCCGATGAGATTACACTCATCGACCGTACCATGAAGAACAAGACGATTATCCTCCGCCTCGGAAATGAAGTTCTTCACGATGCTGGTGTACGCGTCCTTTGCTGTCTCCAAGTAGGCCTCCTTCGGTAAGTATCCAAGCGCAATGCCCTTGAACCACCCGTATGTAAACATGGCAGAACCACTGGCCTCGATGAAATTCTCTTCATACGTTGGGTATGGGTCTTCCATAACTTGCCACCAGGTTCCGGAGTCCACATCTCGTGTCTTCTTTAGAGCCTCTGCCAGAGATACGAAATAACTCATAAGTTTTTCATAGCCTGGGTGAGAGGTGGGGAAGACTTGGAGGACCTCGACCAGCGACATGAAATACCATCCAAGAGCTCGAACCCACACATGAGGTGAAACTCCTGTTACCGGATCCGCCCATGTTGCTTGTCCATCTGCCCATCCATGCGGAATGAGTCCAGAGGTTTTGTTGCGCGCATGCGTCTCGATGAGATCATATTGGAGGAGGATGTCATTCCACGCGGTCTGATTGTCTGCATCGTATCTATGTGTCCATTTTGCATAGAATGGCTGGGCCATGAATAGCCCGTCAAGCCACATCTGGTTCCGGAAGAATATTTGATGCCTGGTCAATATATTGCTTAGTGAAGTCCTCCTCCAACAACAAAGCCGCTTACTCCGATTAAGCTTACCAAAAACCTCCAGATGGGGATCTAGGGGTGGAGTTTATCATGTTACGGACGATCTTGGCTGCCGACTTGTACTTTTCCAAGCCGGTTTTATCGTAGAGGTACAGGTAGTTGTTGGCGATCCGGTACTCGTCAAGAACGTATCTTGTGTAATTCCAGTTTTTGATGGTTCCGTTCTCAAGGACCACATGATCATCGATTTGGCCTTTGTACCAGTCAAGATACTTTTCATCGTTTGATATCTCGTAAGCTTTTTCGAAGCCAAGGTAAAGCGTTGCCACTTGGTAACCGTAGTTGGGTGTGACTCCGTCCTGAATAAAGGTGTCGGCCATCCACGTTAGATATGGTGTTTGGTCATCTGCGGCAGCCGCAGGTGCAAGTAGTGCTACACCAAGAGCAAACAGTTGTGTGAACAGCATCATGAGAATTAGTTACTCCCTTCGGGCGTATAACTGAAAATGCTCTGCTGTTCGCTATGAAATGCGATTCCAAATAATACAAGAAAGGTTAACAATTGTGTCAGCTCGCACCTTGTATTCCCCCACAGCTTATATAGACCTAAACCCTACATGAGACCTGAATCCAATTAATTTAATACGCAATTTAGTGTAACGTTCCCAACCACTCAACACCGAACATCCTGCAGGCAATTAAAAAACCGGGGGACCTTCCAATGAGAGTTTACCCATGGGATCTTGTGCAATGATGAGGCGGGGCATTCATGTTGCATCTGTCCCCCTTGTCCCTCAATGATGAACTAAATTTGTCATGGGTTGATGTAGATCCGAACATCAAAATTTCTCCGAAAAGAGGCACTGAATTGTGCAATGAGGTAACCATTGTCTCCCTTTGAAGGTTGTGTCTCATGTTAGTCTCAACCTCAATGTAAGGCACGAGAAGAGTTCGTAAAAGAACTGTTTGCAAGAGGCCATGGCCGGGCTAGTTGACGGTATTCACTATTCCGAAGACCATTCCAGCATATGCATTGACGTCATGGAACATGGAACTTAGGTCCAGTGTTACTATTAAGGTAATGGCCGACAATGTGACCAACACTAGACCGCTACATATTCATGAGGAAGTACCTTGGAGAAATGAGGGGTTAATCCATGTTACATCGCATAAGTGATTAATGATGCGGTTTGCGTTGGATCTTCAAAGGGATTTGATACCGTGGAGAGTCGGCCCTATAGTAAGGGAGTGACATTGATATCAACACAAGAACTGTATATTTCTTTCCTGAAAAGGCGGTCAAGATTCATAACCTAAGTTTTAATGTTCACCCTCAATATTCTATTTGAAAACAGTGATTGAAAGAGTCTTCAGTCCTGTTTCCACTAACCAAAGAAACATTCATTGGTGACTACATCGTTTCAAAATGGGCTTAACTTGTAAACAGCGGCTATTTATATAATATATAGGAACTCACATCATATATATAATTGCTTATCCTCTTAGATGTGAGGTAGTATTGATTTATATGAACTCTTAACCTGAAGATTTCGTTGATGTGTGTACTGTGAGTTGCATAAAGTCTTTCAGCTTAGCATGAATTATATTATTCAACATTATCACACCAAAGAATATCAAACTGGGAAACTGGGAGGGGAAAACTATATTCTACGATAGACATCTTAAGATGCAGAGATTGAATAATGCGTAGACACGTTGATGAATCTCAAAAGCTGTTTTTTTTTGCCAGCTGAGACATCAAGTAACAATTTGGGAGAAAAAAAGACTCAATAGAGGCTTTATTTCATTTATTTTCCTCCTAAAAGACATAGCAACAGCAAGACCCACGCCAATCCAAGCTTATTTTAGTCACCAGCCTCGGCGTTCCTTCAGTTCAGCGCCCTCTAAAAAGAGTCCGTGTATTCAAACACATGGCTTGCGGTTTGCTTCCCTTCAGCATCATATCTTTGGGGAATAACATTTAGAACGCCTTTAACATCACGAGGCTCGAAATCCAGGTTCATAGCGGACAGAGTCATAACTTCCTTTCCATAGTTCTCCTTCAACCAATGCGCAGCCATATCCATACCTGCAACAGCACCGGCCGCGGTCCATACGTTTCCGTCCACTACCCACTGAGCTTCAGCGGTCCAATTGACATTGGGGTATTCCTTTGCGGCCCACTTCAGAAAGGCATGGTTCACAGTGGCCTTCTTCCCATCTAGGACTCCTGCCTGGGCGGCGATGCAAGCCCCAGTGCAGTTAGTGAACAGGAGTCGTCCTGATGCAACCTGGCGCTGTATAAGCTCCTTGAATCGAGGGTGAAGTTCAAAGCCGTAAGGGTTTGGCCCGGGGACGAGGAGTATGTCGAAGTCTGATGCATCGTCGACAGTGCAGGTGGGCACTAGAGTGAGTCCGGTTGTGAGAGCTTGGATAGGCTCACGGTTGACACCGACATGATGGAAGATGATTTTTGGTGCTTTTTCCTTGGCGATCGGATTCACGGCATGGAAAAGCTCCAAGTCGTTAACAAAGATGTCACTACCGGAGCTAAGGACGTCCAGAAGGCCAAAAGCGTCGATGGCTTGGTACCCATAGGCAAGCGTCCCGACAGTCAGGGTAGAAGCCATGGTGACTATTTGAAGGCAAAACAGGCGGTTATCCTTTGGTACTGAGTCTCTCTGGGGGTGATCTAGATACGGCCAATGGGTTCAAGGCTTTTATACCCTTCCTAGACTAGATCTAGGTCATTATATCTTTAGATACCCGTGTGTTCCTGATCCTCGTCATTCACTCTGGGGCCCCTGAAACTCCGATCAACACTGTGACATCTCAGCATTACGAATCTACAACAAGCAAAAATGTGAGTGGTTGACTCCCGAAAGACGAGACACGTTGTGAGAGCCCCTACCGTAGTGCCGGACGCCAATCGTCCCGAATCGATACGACAGGATAAGAAAGGAAGCTCCCACTGCCCAAGGCGCCTCGGCACGTAACGTCGTGTGGAGGAATACGCTTACCTGCGCCTAAGGATCATGCGCCATACTAAGTCTAGAAGCCCAAAGAGCTGAGGAAAGATCCAGTGATCCATGGTGATTAAAGCTCGGACCAAGAACAGGGATATGCCTGTTCGTGAGACAGGGGTGGTAACTTTTGTTGAGTCCTCCAGTTCAAACTACCCTACACCTCTTCACTGTCTACTCTGGCGACAATGGGCCTGATATTCTCATTCTCTATCAGATATGGAAGAGAGTTTGAGTATAAAGTTAAACGGGAATGGAAGATGCTAGCCCCGATAACTCAACACAATGAATACGAAAGGTGAACATAAGCTTCGACAGCCGAAAGTTGTAGTAATGCAGAAAGGATTCCTCAAACCTTGATAACGATGCCTCACTTGCCGTCAGGATATGCTGCTCGTCGAATGACTATTCCAAGTCACCCTCTTTAACTTATATTCCTTGTTACACTCATCTTACGCCAGTCCAAACAACACCAAGCTCGAGGCAACCAACCTAGTAAATACCAGTAGCCGCTTGGCTAGAGTATTTACACTGATACATCCGTCGCCCTGGATACATCATGTTAGACAATAGTATCTCAGTGCTTTCTCTCGAAGGCAAGACAATTACTTGGTCTGATATAATAAAGCCTAAGATCAGCATAAGAAGCCCCAAGGAAATGGGTCGTGCAAAGGCTATTGTAATCACTGAGATGGATGGACTTGATCAACCTAAACAGAATAGCTTACCTACAGAGCAGGTCTTAGCCTTATATATCATTGGTCAAGATGTGCTCTGTGATTGGGCTATTGAGCTTAGGTTGATTAGATTCATCAACTGTGGTGACACTCTATCAGAAATATGGGTTCACACCCATTACTTGAGGTTACGCGAGCATGAGTGTTCCGAGTGGTCGATTGTTAGAGCTAGAAACTTTTCGATCAAGATTGGTTTAATTGTTTGAGGCAGAGTTCAACTATGTTACTGCGACATTTTAAGGGCATTAATGCAAATTGGCACGAGGTGTAATATTGATGTCTCTTGCTATCAAAGGCCAGAATTGTGTAGATAGCTCAAGCAATTTCTATCCTCTGATCTTCTCCCATTCATCTTCTGTAATGGCGAATAATAGCTCATCATGCCACTTGCGGTTGAAGTACTTAGTCTCTCGCAGATGGCCTTCTTGTACGAACCCGAGGCTCTTGTATAAGCGAACTGCCTTTTCATTGTATGGGAACACGTTCAGAAAGACCGTGTGAAGCCCGGCATAACGGAACGCCCAGTCAAGCATCCAGTTGAAAGCTTCCCGCCCATAACCCTTGCCATGATACTCGGAGCTGAGACTTATCCCTATGCTGGCCCTCCTGTTGACGACCTGGCTCGCAGGAATACCTCCCCATCCTAGCACAACAAAGCCTATGATAGTTGGTCGAGTAGTCTTTCCGTCTGGTGATTGTGTTTGTTTTGTTTGATTGTCAATCTGCTTCGCTTTCTCTTCGGATTTCAGACATATTGAAACCCCTAGAAGTGAACCGCTCAAACCCTTCATAGTATCCTCGATATCTGCTTTCCCTTTAGGCCTCAGAAGGTTAGTTGATACGAGAGCTTGCGTCGTTGGGTCATATTCCACTCGAGATAAAAATTCCCGTAGATTTTCATCACCCTCGTCAGCTTTTGTGTAGTACAAGCGCTGTGAAGAAAACGCATTTGACAGTCCATCAAAGAAGGCGTCCATTTTTGACTGGCATGGCCTTCAGCGGACAACGGTTAGATGTTGAAATTTTAAGGCTTGGAAAAGGAGAAGCAAACAAGACAGAGGTGAGGTGAGAAGGAAACGTGTCTTGACTTTCTTATAATATCGTTCGAATCACTATGAGTCATTATCACTGGCTCTGAAATTTGATCCCAAGGTGTAAATGGCAGGGGTATCGATGATGGATGTAGCACTAATGTGGCGTGAATACTGTGGGTTCAAGCTTGGAATCTGATGCCATGCGGGGTTTCCGCCTCTCGGCCCGAGCATCGGAGTTTTCATGTGCCGCTCATCGCTTTAATTCGTTTCTACTTCACCGTGAGATACTTTTCTTGCTCTCTGCGAAGCTAAAGAAATATTTGCTCGTAAAAATGTCGAAGCCACTCGCCATTGTTAAATCTCTTGACCATCTTGTGCTCACCTGTGCAAACACAGCGCGGACTGCGCAATGGTACACGGAGCACCTGGGCATGAAGTTGGAGACCTTCGCACCGGCATCAGACCCATTGTCGACCCCCAGGATGGCTCTAAAGTACGGATCGCAAAAGATCAACTTGCACCAGAAAGGTGCCGAGTTTGAGCCAAAAGCGACGACGGCCCTTCCTGGAACCGCCGACCTTTGCTTTCTGGTTGGGCAAGATACAAACCTGGATGAAGTCATACAGGGTTTCCAGGACCGGGGAATCACAGTTCTGGAAGGGGGCAAAACAGTCGCACGAACAGGCGCACAAGGGCCGATCCAGAGTATTTACGTTAGGGATCCTGATGGCAATTTGATTGAGTAAGAATGAAACCTGTCATCCTACACCAGGGCTGAGCTGACTGATGGCTAATCTGCTATGATCTACGCCAGGCTCTCCCGACATAGTTCTTGAAAATAGCACGCCCACCGATGAAGTTTCGGGTTCTTCGGACGATATACGTGGTCTTTGAAGTTCGGCTATATGGCGCTATAGCCTATATGGAAGCAGGACCCGTTTTTGGAGTGAGGTTGATCGAGATTGGCCGCGTCCAAGTCAGCATTTGGAGGAATTAGCAGGCTGCTCCCATCGCTTTAAGCCCAAATCTGGTCACAGGACAAGTAACACATACAGAAATCAATGTTAGGGCAGCAGAGTATCTGGGAAATTAATTAAATTTATTGAAACTACTATATATCACCGACAGAACTGATCTTAGCAATGCTCCCGATGCGCAGTGGTGAGACCTGTCTGGCCTTCTCGCATCTTCGTCGCCACCATTTCGATCTTCCAGCTCCGAGAGATAGCCAGCAAGGTTGTCCCGCGCTGCTTTCCTCGACATCTAGTTATCATCTAGACTTACCATTTTGCTTGTCAAAGTAAAGCAATATAAGCTTTTGAGAAGACTCTGAGGAAAGTAGAAAGGAGACCGGCTTTTTTCACATTTGTAACATCCGCATCATGGTTAAACCAGAAATAAACCTGTCTGAAGCCTACCTCATGCTATTCTTCTTAAGTTAAACATCCATTTCGGTGCCGAAGGTGTCCTATGCTCTAATCTACAAAGCAACATCATAATTTTGATGCGTCGCATTAAAGGACGAATGACGGGATATCACTAGACATCCTGCTGAGAGATTAAAAAAGCCAATTCTGGATCAACTGATGGTGGGCTCTTTGGGGCTGCCGCCTGCCAACATAGGAGTACTGGTGTCCGTTCTCTAATGTACGTGAGTTTCACGAAGCACAACGTCCTTGGGGCACCCACTGCACCAAAATCCCTGACCCTGGCGAGCTCTCTAAGTTCTATCGACAAGCAGAAAACAAGGTGTTACTAGCCCGCGGCGCCCTGAGCAGCCTCAATATACTCATTCAAAGTGATGATGTGGTAGGAATAGTGGACTGACAGGCGGCTGGGTGGTTGCTATCATACTGGGAGTACACCACGGCGAAGTACGTTAACCCCCACAATCCATTCTGGGCCGATACGTCGATCACGTATTATAGCCTATGCTAAAGGAGTTGAAGATTGAAACTATTAGACGTAAATGTTTTGGTGCCTTCTAATAGCGGCTGGTCTAAACTATGTACTATTTACCAGTCGCATCGTGCCTCTGATCGTGTGCCCTCTGACCCAAAGTTGAGGCGTTTTTCGTCAATGGATCATCTCGAAGAGCATAGAGAAGCTTGGAAGAAGAGAAACCGGAATCAGCCCAACGATTAAGCAGCCTTGCACAATTTCCACATCAAGGCCTGAGGCCACAGGGCAATGACCGCGACTAATAGACAATACTCAGGTTGTTGTGTACCTTCATATATTAACAATTCTCCGCTTCAACGGCTGCTCTCATGGTTTCTCCCTCCTTCAAATCACCACCTCTACCACTCCGCGAAGCAGGCTTCAATAACCGCGAGAAATCCGCACCTTATCTACATCGAAGGAGCCATCCAAGTCTCATAGGTTGCGAGCAAGCCAAGCTGGCGCCTGTTCAACATGCCTCTCCTCCACCTCCCAAACGAAATCTTGAATGAAATCGCCCGTGAGCTATGTGAAGAGAACGATCTGAATGCGTTTGTTCGCGTTAACCGACTCCTCTACACACTTCTCAACGCCTACTTATACGCACACAATCTGCGCCGATTTCAAGATGACGAGATTGATACTGGTAGCGCCGCTCTTATTTGGGCTATCATCTATCGTGGACCTGAAGCGACGTACAAATTAGCCCTGGAGGCAGAGAGGAATTTGTCTCATAGCAGCGACATTTGTCCTAGTGATTGCGCCTTGAAGCTTGCATTACTACTTGAACGAGTAGATGCTCTGACGCTTTTATTTGAAAATTGCGACTATCATGATGTGGACAAGCGGGCCATTTTTAAAGCTGCACGTATTGGAAACGTTGACGTTTTCCGTGCCATGATCGAGTCAGGGATTTTTGAACCTAGTTATACAGATGAAAAGGGTATGACCTCGCTCATGGTGGCGGCAATTCATGGCCATGTTGACATTGCTCGATACCTGCTTGGTTTTGAAGAAGTTGACCTCAATGCCAGATGGAACAGAGGATCCACACCCTTATATATGGCTGCGGAGGACAACCATGTTGAAATTTTTGAGATGCTCATCGCCACTGGAAAGGTTGATGTGAACGCCGAAACTGACTATGGAGTCACAGTACTCAGCAAAGCGGTGAGGGCGAACCACCCAGATTGCGTGCGGGCACTCTTGGAAGATGACTCGCTTGATCCCAATGCCGGAAAAATGGATGGGATGAGCCCATTACAGGATGCGGCTTTCTGGGGAAGCTTGGAAACGGTCAAGTTACTACTCGAGGGGGGCGCCGATGCTAATTTCGCGCCAACTGGTACCACGGCACTATCAATCGCTGCGCAGGAGGATCATCAAGATGTTGTTGATACCCTTCTCAACGTTCAAGGCATAGTGATAGATAGTCAGCCTCACTTCACCCAATCCTGGCTCCTGGATGCGGTAATCCGTGGACAGGTTTCTCTTGTTGAGAAACTCCTCGCTCAACCAGATATCAATGCAAACGAGAAAAATGATGATGGGAACTCGATCTTGATCGCCGGAATTATTGAAGGACAGACTGAAACAGTCTTTGCTCTTCTGGCGAGCGGTAAGGTTGACGTCAATTTGACAGGATCTTATCAGCGTACTCCTCTCCATGTGGCAGTAGAGTGGGGATACATTGATATTGTTCGTCTGTTGCTTTGTGTTGACGGCATAGATCCAAATCTGAGGGATTGGCATGATAAGACACCATTCGAACTGGCTCTTGTCGAACAAAATGATGAGATAATGGTGATGCTCTTGGAAGTGCAGGAAGTTCTTGATGATGCGATATTCGGATCAGTCAACTCTGTCACGTACCCCATAGAGGAGGACTAAACCAAGGCAATGGACATTCCACGCCCACCCTAGGCGGAAGCAAGCAAGTCAAAGGATGTTGTTACTTCTCGGGAAAAAGATCACCCAAGTCTGAAGTATTCCGTGGATGAAGACGGCGAATTTAATTCCTCAGTGGCATATATTCTATGGTAGATTATGCTGGGCCGTTGCCTTTATTTTATTGATATTCTTACCTTACACCACAAGTTTCAATAATTCATCCTGATTTTATTGATTAGGCTGTTGTTTATGTATCGTGCTTTTCAATGGGTGTACAGCAGCCACACGTAAGTAACGGAATGGAACTTCCAAACCACGTTCATTTCATCGCCATCCACCAATATAGGAACCAATTAAATTACTAAGTGCAAGAACCCAGCCATCTCGATGTCATGTCACATTCTGCAACTTAATTGCACTTATAATGATACACATTCAGCTCTAGGGGATTTGCATGCTCATCACTGTGCAGGGGCAACACCGCGTGCAAATTTTCCCTTGATTTTGGTGCTCATGGCATCCCATTACATTGAAGCTGCGTCCAGGGCTCGCCCATGGCTCTCTCATGGATGCCGCTTCAGATACTGCCAAGGATGATAGTGTCCTCTTTTACTTAGCAGGGTCCCTGTGCCGCAGGTGACTCAGGTCAAGTTGACTGCCCAATTCATTTGAAAAGTCAACAATTTTAATGCTTTACTTATATCGTATTATTCAAATCGTGATCTTTGACTCCTTGTTCAATGGCCAATTTGGCTTGTATAAAGACCACAATGATCTCGTTCAGTTGATAAAATGCGGGTGGCCCGAACCAAATACCAAATATGCATTGATTATTTGTTAGGTAGTTGTTCTTGAATATATAACTTGGTTGAAATTCTTCCATTTTGACTTACGCTGAATCACGATCACTGACCCTGACGGCTAGATGAAAATTCTCGTAGAACTTGCTATATATATTCCATTAAATTATTCTCGTACAACAAGCTTCATACGGCCTGATGGTCTAGTGGTATGATTGTCGCTTCGGGTTTAGTGTTAAAATCCATTTCTTCCAAAGAAGTTGTGACAGGTCCCGGGTTCGAATCCCGGTTAGGCCCATCATTTTTTCCTCTTTGTGACAGTTCTTCTGTACATTTTGTTCTCTTATGTCTTTTTTTTAAAGCTATCATCAATGCAGGAGTCATCCGTAATGTTCACGCCATGATCTTATTCCTACAGATACGCGTCCAACTGGCATGCGGCAGCAATCACCTCATTCTCGGAAAATCCCTTAAGTATATATACCCTTCCGGCCACGAAGTTCACCATTGACGCACAGAGACGTGAGGTGAGGTAAGGTTCTCAGCACTTAAGAGATTGGAAATTATCGCTCATGAACAGCTTGTTAAACGCCAGGTAGATGAATTTTTCCCCACGCAGACGCCCACATTTTGCACATGTGGTAAACATCCTAAAGCCATCAGAGACGCACTGTACTAGTGGCCAACAACAATTCATAAGGCTCCCTGGAGTTTAGGAAGATCGAACCCATATCTCAATTGTTCAATCAAAATGTATGATTCTTCTAGACAATACACTCGGTCATGGCTCATTCGACAACGATGATTTGTATCGAGAATTGCTATGATCATTCATTCGAGAAAGACGGCTAGCCGTCGTTCTAGATCCTGAGAGGGTCGATCCTTTGATGACGCATAATGATTCGTCTACAGTCTAATAAAATGGAAGCTTGCGCTCTTGTTGCACTGTCTAGTAGATCGATAGTCGCATCCTTGACGAGCTCTCTCATCGGTACGGGTTATCCTAGATAGATGTTAGCTGATGCGAAAGGACCCTCTTCTTTGCTGGTTAGTTGAGCCTGTGTAAATTTCCACATGCAACTTGCTGAGCTTTTTAGGATCATATCTCTGTGACTACATTAAGATATGTCAACCTGTGGAGGAATTTTCTGGGTGCTTAACTCCTGGCAGGCGTCGAAGGTTTGAATTGGAGAAGGATTTTTCATTGTGTTGAGATGTCGGACTCTGGCCGCGTCTTTAAGAATGAGGTAGAAGAGACTCTAGTACTTTCCGAAGGCTCATGAAAGACCCAATTGATCCAACCCGCCGGGATGATTGGGTGGGATTTAGGCATCTCTGTCCGTCAGACAGCATACCCACTTCAAAAGCAAAGGCCTCTTATAGGCCGAGGGATTACACAAAAGAGTTTCATGCATATCATTTACTAAGCATGCTTTCACCCTGCATGGATGTGAGTATCTTTGCTTTTTGGGCGCTTAGGCAGCCAGAAATTGTCGCTAAGTGGTCCCAAGGACCGAGTCCTAAAACTTCACAAACTGTTCACATGCCCTCCTAGATCAATGAGATATGCCCAAAAAGACAAATGAGATGACTAGCCACTACTTACTACATGGCACACCCAGCGGCCATGTCGGCCTAGAAACACTGTCGGCCGAGCTTCTGTCTCTGATTGTGGAAGACGATTGCCTGAGCCTGGAAGATCTGGCTGCCTTACGGCTGACTTGCTCCTCCTTGAATGATGCTGCTTCGGCAGTGCTCTTTCGGCGCATCTACATCTCTCCCTTGGTACAGGATCGCACCTCCTTTCTTAAGATTTGTCACTCGCCTCGCCTCGCACAGCACGTACGTGAGGTTGAATGGTTTGAACGTCCCTGGTTCCCTGGTTATTTCGAGAACTATCTGCCCTACCCGTATGGCTTGCGAGGCACAGATTATGATTCGGAGACCGAAGAATCGACCGACGAATCTGAAGTTGATGACGAAACAGAAACCGAGTTCACAGCCACGATCGATGATATAGGAGTAATATTGGACAGGTCATGCGACCAGGCGTTCTGGCTCCCTGCTTCCCAAGTGCTGTCCTGTCGGCTATTTTCGAAACCGAGACTACCGTGGAGCCTGATGAAGGCGTTCTGCTGCTGTGCACTGAAGCCGTAAATAGCTTCAAATGGGCGTTCAGTAAAGCGCTCGCCCTGTTGCCCAATCTTCACACCATGGCCTCACGGCCGATGCCCCGACGTCGGGTCATTGGGGGCTGCTATTACCCAATGACAGCTGGTCATTTCCAAGTACGACTACCTGGGCGTTGGGAATCTCCTTGGAACTGGAGCAGTGACGGGCTGTACTTGTTCATATTGCCGGCCATGGCTACATTGGCCCGTCCATGCGACGGCTAGTTTGGGAAGACGGACTGAGGGGCAACGGTGCCTTCGGTATGCCCGAGCCTGAAGCCTTTCGGTATCTTAATACCCTAAGCATTTCTCTCGTCAAGTGGATGCGGTCGTCATATGACATACTCTGGACACCGGATGCTACCTTAACTGGGGTAAAGGCGTGTTTTGAGGTTAGCAGCAACGTTCGACATCTGACCTTGGGAGTGGAGGGTGAGATCAATCCGTGGTTTCAATTGACGACTGCGCGACGGAGGGAATCCTCTTGCGCTATTTGCCTGACATCGACCGAAGTGGATGGACAAGGCTTCATTCTCTCAACCTTATCTCAATGAACATCGGCGACAAGATGCTCATTGCGGTTGTAAGAGAAAGTGCTGAAACTCTACGCCACCTCTCCCTCGAAGAATGCAACACAACACTTGACAGGGTCAAGAAACTCTCTAAAATCCCCAACCTCAAGCTCTAGTCAGTTCGACTTATTGGTGATTGTCCACGGCATCAGCCATCTGATTCCGGAAAGCAAGCTCCTTGGTTACCTGAACAACCAGATCATTCCTGAAGGCGAAGATGTCGATATGTGTACCTTTAAGGACCAGCAATTTGAGAAAATCGTCGATGATGACGATGAGTTTGATCTTGAAGTCGGCATTTACTATGAAGAGAATCAATTCCGCATGTTTGAGGATGACTGCCCAAAGTTTTTAGCCACGAGACCCGTCGTGACGCTACCAGCATTTTGGGATTGGCGGCACTTCTTTTGATGACGACGAGTTTGAAATCAAGCAGGCCTACAAGAGTGGCTATAGTGACGACCAGACTGAACTTGAGCTCACTGACGACATATCTGTTACCGAGTCGGAGGATAGTGTGACGGAACGAATACGCAATGGGCCTAAATGGTTCTGGCGCCGTTACCTTCATCGACGTGCTATTGAGGGAGAAATATATTTTATGCAGGTCGATGACATGCACCCTCAAGGATGGCCCACCACAATCTGGAAATTCACTAGCCGGGAGGGTCTCGTGTACTATGGCCATGACCCCTTGGAGGCCTTTGAGGAATGGGACACGGAACAAGGCGATCTGGAACAAGCAACCCCATATGGAAGAGATATGGAACTGGCCATTTGCCAAAACCATGAAAGGCCTCCAGAGGGTGCGTGGCTTTATGATGTTTCCGAGGCTAGGAGGGCTCGAGAATGGGGACACCAGCTTAAGCGATTGGAACCGGGATGAATATGAAACACGTAACCTACCCCGTTCGAAGTACTACCTGCTTTGTTTGGGATGAAATTGCACGGATGCATCTTTGGAATTGAAATGGACTTGGCGGGGTTCCGGGGCGAGTTCCGAGCAGCCGCATGGCTAATATACTCCCGCCAATCAGCCAGTTTGAGGCTGCCACCGGAATTTGAGACTTGCATGCGCTCATTATTATCTCCTTGTGGGCCTGGCTAGTTGTAAGAGATATAAGTAGCAATGATGTTGTGTGAAAGAAACATTTGATGGCATCAAAAACAAAATAAAACAGTGAACAGGGAAAATGGCTAAGATCAAGAGTATTACCTTGCTTTTCAGCTGCGCTATGCTTCTATCTGGAGCGCAGCCGCTTGCCGCCACACCGAAATATTTCATTACATTGTGAGATCCAAATCTATAAGGCACTCTAAGAAAGTAATATGTTCTGATATATCTATCAGCGGAGACTCCTATTCCCAGACCGGTTTCGACATCAACGGCACCAAACCAAACGATGCAAATCCGCTAGGCAACCCTATTCTTCCCGGATGGACAACAAGCGGAGGGCTCAACTGGCTCGGATTTCTCGTCAGCCAGTCAAATGCGAGTACTATATATTCTTACAATCTAGCGAGCGGAGGTGCCACGACTGATGCGGAGCTGGTCGCTCCCTGGTCCCCCGAAGTTCTCAGTTTCATCGACCAGACTTCCTTGTTCTCGCAAACCTTGGCCCCAAAGCCCACATGGGCACCTTGGAGCGCAGAAAACACTCTTGCTGGCGTTTGGATGGGTGTCAACGATGTTGGAAATACCTTTTGGCTAGAGGACAGAGAGGCACTCATAGCCAAGGTGCTGGGACGATACTTTGAGCAGCTGCAGATTCTTTATGATTCTGGAGTCCGAAACTTTCTTCTATTGGGTGTTCCCCGTAAGTACATACAGGCTTCTCCGCCCCAAAGAGTCCTTCTCGAGGGCAGGAAATGTTCCAGCTGTCCGGTCCTGCTAACTTATTGGCAGCAACTGAGAAGTCACCGCTTATGCTTGAGAACGGCGAAGATTCGAACAAGATGCTTGCCGCCACCATCGAGCAATACAATGGCCTTATCAGCTCGAGTATGGAAGCATTCAAGACAAAGAATTCCGGTATAACATCCTGGATTGTTGACACGGCTCCTGCTTTCAATGAGGCTATCAATAATCCAACCCGCTACGGGGCGCCGGACGCCACTTGCTTCAATGGAGATGGTACGAGTTGCCTTTGGTTCAATAACTACCACCCTGCTATCGCAATTCACAAGCTTGTGGCGGCCGAGGTTGCTGAGGCGGTTGGCCTGCCTTGGTTCTCATGATATCTCCATAGATAGTGGTCATTACTTGTGGTATAACGTAGTTTATTCAAATATTCTTCTTTTTACATTATAGGTTACTCAAAAGCACACATTGAGTTTGAGGCAAGAACTGTCGGGCTTTCTAACACTTTTCTCGTAATAGTCCTAGGGGGGGGTCAAATCGGCCTACTTATTAGGCTGCGACGTGAACTATAAACGGTATTCCCATTTCCCTAACCTAACACATCGTTAAATGTAGTTTACAGGCTAGGAACCAGGCGTTGAGTCTCAAATACATAAGTGTAAATCCGCATCAAGACTTATAGATCTCATAGCGCATAGGGCTTTCCGAGGGCAGCATGAAATCACTGAGGGCGCGCACGCCACCCGTCTGAACGATCTAATCGCGATGACCATTCTTTTGGCATCAGCGCATGTCTAGGCCAAGGTAACACGAAATGAAGGGGATATAAACGCTCTAGAGGGAGTCCTGGCCCTAATTCTTAGATCGTCGGGATATTTCCCGATGCTCCAAACTAAACGCTCGGGAAAGAGAGTGAGGGTTGCCACTAACCGCAGTCATAACGTCAGCTTCACGCCAGTTCAATGAATTGTCTATAGACCATTGGCTTGTCGAGTTGGGGGAAACAGTGTGCTTCAGATCGTGGCGAGAGGGTTCGGAGATGGGCCAAGGTCAACGTGGACCTATGCATCCGACCACATCATTGCTAGCGTTTGAAGTTATAGGATTGGAGGGTTGGAGGAGGGAAGAGGGATACGGATCGGTCGGGGGAGTGTATGTTAATTGGCTAAACAACAAACCCCACGGTCTTCCCGTATGCAAGACTTGCATGATCATAACTCGAAAGGGAAAGGGGGCAACTAGTCGCCAAGGGTTAGGCTACGTATCCGCTGCACTGGCCACGGATGTTGCAGCACCCCTCCTTGAATGAATATTGGAGGCCGGACTATTACAGGTAGATTATGGGCTAGACTGTGCGTTGCTGAGCAATACTGTTGGCGCGTGAACAGTAATGGGGGCTCCGTTCCCGGCCTTGGGGGTCACATGGACAAAGCCCTCTCTGGAACTTTATTTGGCCAGCTCTCCAATCTCAGTTGCAAGGTGAAAACTTGCAGCATGTGTCATGATCATGCCAGTGGTCATTGACTATTCCACGTAGCCAACCTCCGGCCCACCACCTGATCTGCTACTTCACATAACAGGGTGCCATGAAGAAATATGGTTTGTTTGCCCGTCAATTTAAGATTCAATGAATGACCGAATCATTCTGACCTCGCTGCATGATGATATATAGCCAACGTAAGAAGCTACATAGTCAACTGTGCAGCTATATGCCCCCTCAGGTTCTATAGCCAAGTCTCAATACTGCCATCCTCTTTACTTATCACAATGCAAAGCTGTAGCGCGATAGCTGATCTGCATGCCGATGTGTTGTATCCAGTTATGTATTGCAGCCCGTAGATAAGGTATCGAACGCATAAAGTCATCAGCCTCTGTCGCCGGAGAACGATGAAGATCATCATGCTCACACCACACGCTAATGCCTGCAGCCTTGGTGGCCCCCGATCACTTCTAGTTTCTACATGTCCCCGATCTTGCTTCCATGGTTGATAAAAAGGCCAGATGGAGACAGGACAGGTAGATAAGGCACAGGCAAACGACCCTTGTAACATGATATGGACTGTTTGCAATGCCATGCGGATGCTGGGGCTAAAGTAAGTAGCAACCAATCATCAATCTCCTAATCCCCATGTCAATCAATGCCGGTAACGGCCACAGGCGAAGTGTCCAGCCCAGCCGATCTATCAGGCACCCACTTCTCTTCGACCCCCTGCCGGTCTCCCATCTGTCACTCCTCGCAGCCCAATCCTGGTTCCAGCACTCTGCAGAGCGGTGTTCTCGCCTACCGGTGTACCGTTAGGTATTGCCTATCATTAGCTAGGATATACACTTCTATCTTTGTTCGACGCGGGCTGGTGGAGCATGTGTGATACGCCTCCCTCCCCAGATTATTTGCCGCTGCAGTTAACTCCACGCACTTGTTCTAGCGAACCCCTCACTCTTCAGGCTCCACTGATAAGTAATTCCAGCTGGGCAGAGACGTGGCGGGCTTCCCTCCTCCCCCATAATCATCAGCACCCCAACACAGTGACTAGAAATCACTGAGATACAACTTGATTTCCAAACCGCACCCACAGAATACCCCTAAGGATTCGAAAGCAATTAGTTTCCCGGACAAATCTGGCTTACTAGATACAATGGTCCGCCGGAAACGCCCCTATGTTCCCAAGGTCAAAGGTAACGCCTCAGAGAAAATCCACGCAGTACACAACGACCCCTTCACCCATCCTTGTGGCTAGATGATACTATCAAGCTTATCTATGGTGTAGTTCATATAGCTGACTTTGAATAGGATGCTACGAGTGCTCCCAAAGGCGCATCAACTGTGATCAGACGCGCCCAGGCTGCCTGAAATGTGCCTCCCGCGGCATCGACTGCAGCGGGTTTGGTGTGAAGTTCAGGTTTCGGGAAGGCCTGTCCCGCGGGGTGAAAACCGTCAAGTGGCAGATGGAGCAGGCCAAAAGTCCTCGGATGCATGATATGCCACCATCAAATTTCGTCCCTCAAGCGAGTTCGCCAACGTGCGGCGCTTCGACATGCAGCGAGGGCTCTCCCACCAACGGCGAGGAGTTTGTCGCAGAAGTGGGAAGCACAGCTTCCGTTGCCCTAGAAGACTCAATATTTGACTTTGACCTACCATGTGGGCTCTTTGACGATATTGCTGGGGCTGTGGTCCCGCCAACACATGAGGGCGTGGCTGAAGCCGGCTCGGAAGAGCTCGGAGACCAAAGCTTGCAGCTGTGGTCTTCTATCGACAAAACATCATCATGGAAAGACTTCTTGCTTAATTACTGTAGGCTGACCACTATCTTCCTCCAATATCTTCTGTTTCTTTGAACAAAACTAATACAAAGGCTAGTTTCTATAAAAATTGCTCCCGAGATGGTCGTCATTGATGATAACCACAACGGCTGGCGCCACGCAATTCTACCAATGGCCCAGTCTAACGAGATAGTCATGAACGCGGTCATGGCGGCTGCTGCGTATCACTTGGCTGGGTCTATTGGAATCGAGACCGTCTCCCAGGCGATGATTGATCCCAGCCTGCTCTACGAATCCGCCATTCAGGGTCTCCAACAACGACAGCAATTAACAAACCAAGACTTCGAGACGCAGCAAGCAGTCATCCTATCCATTGTCGTTCTCCTAACTGCAGTCATGGTAAACGGCTGCACAGACTTCCCCATTATGTTCCAAATGCTAGTGTCGGCCCTTGATGCCATCGGAGGAGAAGCCACCTTCGCAGAGCTGGGCGGCGAGGTGGCTGAGTTTTCCATCCGACAGATCCGCAAGTAAGTCAGATCCTTCTACCGAATTATACCTAGCAAGTCGTTAACGGGAGCGCATAGGATGCGGGTTTACGCCGCACCATTACTGAGTCCGGATACGGGACTACTCGAGATCCTTTGCCGAGCGGAAGAGAGCTTCGACTGTCTAGAGTACTACAAGCGCCTCTATCCTCAGCACGCAGATGTTTTTGGCGTAATTGAGAGCATCCGACAGCAAGCTTATAACATATATCTCGACCGGGCCCTGAAGTCATGCAACTCGCTGGAAGTCAACCCTGACAAGGATGCTACTGAAGTAGAGATTCCCGTTCAAGTTGACGATGACGACGAGCCCTTGATCGAATATTTCACTCAAACACTGGAGGCTTTTCCCAAAGATGCACCGGGCGAGCACTGCTTTGTTTGGCCTTGCTACATTGTCGGATCTGCGAGCAGGAATCCTCGTCATCAAGCGATTCTCGAAGGGTATCTGGAGCGGCAGTATTATCGTAATGGGTTCGCGAATCTGCTTCGTGCGAAGGAGATGCTGAGGTATATATGGGATCGCAGGGCCGATCGTGATGACTGGACGGCACTATTGCCGGAGTCTCGTGTATTTGTTATGTAGGCTTCGCCCATGGGTCGTTCGGTTGGTTCGGATTGGAGATCGCTTAGTTCGGATGGAAAAATGGCGTTGGTAGGAAATGCGCGTATTTGGAGGCTTTGGACCCGGAGAATCGTGCTGTCTTGGTTTTTGAATAAGGCTTTTGGCGCTACACTATTGTTACCTATGACAGATTGAATCAACATGAGAACATAATGCAAATCTATGTGCCACAGTGTCATGAGAAAGATTGTGTTAAGGATTGTGCCTTACCATTTAAAAGAGATGTTCCACATAGTCCTTCCTGTCAGAGCAAATCTCGATTATTGGGTGCCTGGACTTTGAAATACCTTACAGAGAGAAAAGACAGTCTTGCTGATATAGGAGATTAATGCCACGATCCTCGACTTTATCAAGCATCGTGGATAGAAATTGCATCGTTCACAAACCCCAGTTTGTCATGACAATCATCCTAGCGAGGTCAAGCCACTTTCAGATCTAGCACATCTCTGATGGAGGAAACGATGTTTGTGCTCACAGCTGTCAGATGCGTGTGACCCGCTAGGTTGGTACTAGACACTAGCGAGTGTTTATCAATGAGATAGATGAGGAATCATAGGAGAGGCTTTGGAATTTATATCAGTCAATACACCTTTTTCTCGCCCTCATAATCAAAAGTAGCTTCCATTAGGTTTCATGGGCTCTCTTCTAGGTTTATTTAAACGTTTCGAGTGGAATCTGAATGACCGTGGGCCCGTTTTCCCAAAGCCAGACAAGACATGGAAATAATATGGGCTCTTGACGAAATAATGGCATGATGTTTTCATCTTCTAACAAGTGGCATGTTATATGGGGAACGATTCGATGATAAGTGCTGGAAAGCATGTATGTTTTCTCACTCTGGTATTTGAGGATGGGTAGTGGGACGACAATCGGTGAAGAGTCTTTACCCTAAAAGGGAATTTCAATGAGAGCCAGTGCCAAGGATCCATCATCAACTTCACTAATAGCGGGTAGGATTGTTCCAATCATACGGAAATCTCTTGGGTATATTGTGTAATTGATCAGCCACCGTAACCTTAGCTTGGGGACAAGAAGAGAGGAAGATATCGAGTTGAAGCGTGGTCAAGAGTAGACTGCTTATGCGAGAAATGGAATGACATGGGTCGCTTGGCAAGCCTCGGGGCCCTCGCCGGGCCCTCGCCATGGACATGGATGCGGAGAGAAACAGGGAGGAGGAAGCTCTGGTCTGGTTCTCCATAAGAAGAAGAAAAGGCTCGACGGGAAGTGAATCTCTAAGTCGATGTGTTGCGGTTCAAGAACGGTAGCGTAGGCTAGAGGCTGGAGATCTAGCCAAGAACTTGAGAATCGGATGAGTATTGAATGTAAGTTTGCAGCGAAGAAAGCAGCTGAGTGCAGATCTCTTACAGGTTCTTCTGTAACACTGCACTTCTGGTACTCGCAGTATTGTCAGGACAGACGACGTATGACGCTGAATTAGGAAAAAAACCAATCTGACTGTCATGGAGCCTAATCTCCCGGATTACTCGAAGCTACACGTATCAAGTGCATGACACCTGACTTTAAGTACGTGATTGGGTTATCAAATGAATTTCCTAAATCAGTAGCATCCTTCAAATCCTCCACTGCACCCGGTGCACCTTATCTAGAGATTTCCTCGCCTAAGTTGTTTATTCTCGCAATGTAGATCTTGCCGAACGGATAGCTCGCTTGGCTCCTCACGGCCACTAATCGCCGATCATAGAGTGCTACCCGCCCTCCATTAATCGTAGGATTCCCCGCCTCAAATGTGACGTGGATGAAATAGGGGCTGGCGTGCCCAAAAGTGCTCTACGGGAAGGATTTGTGACAGGGCGGAGTGTGGGTGGCCTATCACAAGATCATTCCTGTGCTGACTGTTGCAATCTTAGACTACTACCCAAAATAATAATACGATGTTGCAGGCATATTGTTGCTACAGAGGATGACTGCAAAGGTGCTTGTCAAAAGATCAAGGCCCGATGAGTATCATCGACAACAAATTGTATGTTGCCCATGCAGTCAGAAACTTCATAGGCAACATCTCCGGGATGATGCACAAAGGTCCAAAGGGCACCTTGAGCTTCAACAACCGAGCCCACAAGCAACCCAGATTGAACATTTTGAGGAGTGGCAATGTCTTACTCCGCTTGCTCAAGATAGGCATGATCATCGTCGATCAGAAAAACACTTCTTAAGGCAATGCTAAAGTTAGGGTAGCGGCCCGATTCTGCAAGCAACCTCACGTCAGTTCTGCCTAGCCAAAGGATACCTCCCGAGCAGAAGTCGACAGCGCCCCCGGTCTGTCATGGATTTTCCACGATGGAGGGGTAGAGCCCAGGGGCACGTCGGCCATCCATTTCTTGGTCTAGATTTCGATAAAAAATGTGGCTGGGTCGGGACAAGCTTGGGATCTTAGGGCTGAGTGTCCCGGGGATCTCTGATGAAAGTGCTGACAGCTAGAAGCTCCGCTCTGTCATTAACTAAGCCATGGTGGTGGTAGCCAATCTAGAAGAAATGCATCACTGGTTTTAAATGGACATAACGCGATAAGTTTGACTGCTCCATACTCCCAAACCGACGGACATAAGAGAAAAGAGAATGGTGCAAGAGCAGTGGAAGCTGCCAGAGCCCGACAACTCAACACAACGAACACTACCAAAACCGACATTAAGCCGAATCCTTAAAAGACACTCGCATTAGGAATTTCCCAAGTATCAATACCAATATGCCGCTCTTCTATCCATATGTCCTCGGCAATCTAAAAGAAGGTGAAACCATCACTCTTCGAACTCCGTCCGTGAAGGTACATTCTAGCTATACCCGATTGCGCCTCACAAAATCTAGTTGGTAGCTCTCATTGTGTGGATAACCAAAGCCGTCGTCGTGAGTGCTTTGGCCCACGCGTGCCTCCTCTTCCAGTCGCAGAAAGGAGCCCGTGCTCTCGCTAAGCTTGGGCCCGTTCTTGGACAGCCGTTTCCCAGACACAATCCCGCCGCTCACACTGATTCCTAGGGCGTGCTTAGAAGAACATACGCCGGTCTGACTCGTGGTGTATTCGCCGTATCGCAGCTTGCGGTAGAATGGCATAAGCGTGGGCGTGCAGGCACCAATAATGGCCACGTAGATCTCGATAACGGTCGCTATACCTGTGACCATGAATTGCTCTGGTATCATTGTTAGTGACCGCTGACCAAGGCACGCAGGCTCTTTCTGTTGGACTTACTAGTGAAATTGCTGAGGCCCTCTCTCCAAATAACGTTGGTGGTGGCCGTGCGAACCAGGCTGGCAGCGAAGGCTCTGTTACAGATCATGTCAGCGATGATGCCTTTGAATGATTGGAGTGGAGGTAGTAAGGGGGTCAGCGCTTACATTCCACCCAGAAGGAAAATGAAAGCGATCTTGAACTTGCGCTCTGTCGAGGTGTGCAGCTTCCAGACCTCATATATAGGCAAGCTCAGCGTTAGAAAGTTTATGAACGTATTGGCGATCGAGTTTGCCAGGAAGTGAAGAACGGTATCGACACATTTTGTTGTCGGTCGTGTCCGGAGTTCGAAGTACCAGAACGCCTCGAGAGGGCGGCACTGAATGAAGTCCACAATGGTGACGGCGACACACCACGCAATACACATGGCACCGATGATTTTGCACCCGAGCTTCATCCCGGCTGTTGGGAATATGCGCCAGTAAAAGGCCAGGACAGAGATCTTGATCAGGGGGGAGCTGTATGTGTATGTAACCTCTGCAACAAAAAGGCACTGGCAGACTCAACGTTAGGGAGTGATACTGCATAACGGGACAAGCTGCGTTGTTTTCTGAACGAACCTGGAACAAGATGACAGCTGAGTGTGGGTTTTCCGGGACAGTTATCCTCGCGTCTCGCCCCATGCCACCTTGAACTACCGCCACACAAGAAGCTATCATGAGAGCGTGATGTATTAAGAGCGCGGCAAGGCACGTCCAGTCATCGGCCCCCAGTGTCTGACGCGTCAATCGTTTCGCCAGAAACCGCAAGACAACTATGGTGGTAGTAAAAACCGAAAGGATACTGCAGGCAATGACTGCACCAGGGCCAGTATCAGAATAGTCTATAGGTGTCTGGATTGCCGTAATGTTAATAGCCGACATTTTCCTCGTCGCTTCACAAGCATCAACTCGCAACTTCACTTCTGCAAGAGGATTAGAGGGTAGAGAAAGACTGGTGTGAATTCAAAGGCTGGTTCAGGCGTATATATAATTGGCTTAGTCTTGATTGTTTGAATGTATGTACATGGCGAATGCTACACGCAATCTGCCAGCAAAGTCCAACGCAAAAGATCCTCCTCGGTTTGGCCTCTTGTATTTGTATCGGACCGTCTAAGAATTTACGCCCCCACGTCGGTTAGAATATAAGGACCTTACGACCAACGCGACCATACCGCAGCCTACAGCCCAACACCTCAGCGTCGCAATAGGATCAGAGTGAGATTCTTACAAAATGGTAGCCTGCAAAGATACATTTGGCTGTTTTTGTCTTACTTTGTGCTGCTTCTGGCTACTCCGTTATGGTGATATGCATTTCCAGCACACATAATTCGGGACTTATGTCGAACGGATCATTGTGACACAAAAGTTCGTGTTTTTGTCGCCGACCACTTATCAAAAACAGATATGCTCCATGTCTCCGGTAAATCTTATTAGATATATCTTCTATAATATTCACTTTTATAACTTAATTTCTTCTAAATATGGTTTCTAGCTTCGAACTTTCTGTTTATAAATTTCTTAGTATTTCTTTTTATTTAAAGAGTAATTTATCTCTGTTTTCAGAAATTATTTTTTCTATTTATTCTAGCATAATATAAGACTATGAATCTAATGACCGAACTCAGGTTGAGTTCGAGTTATCAGCGCACGACCAAGCGCGGGATCCGCCTGAGGCTCGATTCAATTCAATAATCCCGATGATAGAACCGTACGTTCCTGCGATCATGATGAATGTTCCAATCAGTATAACAAACATGCTCCAGGCAACCATCAGATACCAGGTACATCTCGGACTGCTCCCCCTTAGATGCCAGTTGTCGTACAGCCACATGCAACCCATGGGCTGGAACGACATCAGCGTCCCGAGTAGCGCGCCGATGAGTGAGACCAAAGCACTGAACACCGGGATACCACTGGCGATCAAATATGCCGCGATGGCAATGCCAAACGTACAGCCTATCCATGTCGTCCAGTGCCGAAAGGTGTTCTTATTCAGGTGTTCTGTTCCTCTGAGGAGCCGGATGAATAGAAGCTTGCTAGCAAACTAGGCTTAAGTTAGCACCGGGGACGTATATGTGGATAAGACTTGGATGTAGAAAAAAGGCCAGTCTTTCTCCGCAAGGAGTTCTGGAAATATGCTCACATGAAGAACAATGGTCGTGCTAACCAGTAATCCAGGCAGGGCGACGCCGTATGCTACCTTCTTGACTAGGTCGCCTGCTGATCCCAAGGCAGGAGATGCAACGAAAGACCCGCAGTAATAGTAGACCACGCAGCCGATAGTGATGTACATGGCCGTTATGAATCCTTGACAGACAAAGAGAGCTCTGTTATATCGCGCAGGATCACGCATCTCAGCGATGATTGGGAAGAATCCTGGCGTGCCGGCGTAGGCAAAGACTAGGGAAGAGACGGCCATGATGCCTTTTGTGAACGTCGGGTTCCCGAAAAGCTTCCAATCGGATTGCCAATCGCCGGTCGAGGGGGCGGCAGACGGTCGGTCTTGAATGCCCACGGCAATAGTTATCATCATCACTGAGATAGATGAGTCAGTGAACATGCGATATCCTTCAACAAAGGGCACGTACCGGCGATGAATACAGAAGCAACTCCAATCCATGCGACCCAGGTCATTTTGCCTAGCGTGCGGATGCTTCCAATCATCCAAGCCGCCAGAGCAGCAACTATCATGAAGATGGCAGTGCATGCCCCGTGGCTAGAGACTGCGTTCAATCCGGTCGACGTACTGACTATGCCAGAACCAGAACAAAATATCCAGTCTAGGTATCATCAATGGTAAATGTCAGTGGTCATTAGGCAGAGGTAGAATATCAAGGCTCAGGGGGGGCTCACAGATACAGATTCCAATGCTGAAGAACTCCCTTCCGACGCGGCCAAACATCAATCCACCGGCGTCGTCAATTCCATAGACTTGCCGATGGCGCAGCTTGAAGCATCCAATCATATAGTTGGACCACGTGGTGATTCCCGCGACTACCAGGATGCAGAGAACTCCAGGCACCATGCCCAATGTGTTCAAGACGTCCGGAATCGAGAGAATACCCAGTCCAAACTGCGTTTTCAGCATGAGGGCGACCGTTCCAATCCATCCTACCTATCATCTCACCCATTAGCCCTGTTCACCTCCTCAATTTTGTTGTAAACTTACGTTTCGGTAATCGGGACCTTCCTCGGTGATCTGGCCAAACACCGCATCGTTTGTGCCGGCGTCTTCCGGTTTCATCACGTCCTTCTTTGGATTCATCTTCTTGTTCAAAGACATGTCTCCGGGTGATGCAGACTGAATGGACATGTTGTTGAGAAACGGCTTGCGAAGCGAATTGACGTCGTCTTTCCTCTTTTTTTCAATGGCATTAGAATCTAAAAGATCTCAAACAAAGATGGATACAAGTAGTGAATGTTGAGCAAATTGGAAAGAGGCCGAGGATGACGAAATGGAATAGATGCCAACATCGGACAGGGACAATTGCCAAATATGTCTGTCGAGATGCGAGCGTTCATGGTCCGGGCAAGGCAATCTCCTTGTTCAGAACAGCCTGACATGGAGATACGATTTGCCAATGTCATCGTCACGATCGATCTACAGGGCTTTTCCGTTTCAAAGTGAAATGCGGCAAGTTTCCGCGGCCTTGTTCTGGCTGTCAAGGATCACACACTTGCCCGGTATCCCTATTCCCACAACTGGACTCACTGTCCTCTTCAGAAGTCCGAGATCCCCGCGGTATCAAACCTAACAAGTTTGCTAGCCACCCCACGGGGGAGCGAGTATTATGCGGGAATGAGTAACCGGGCTCATGCCCCTTGTGTTGTTCCTGAGGCTACGGCTGACCTACGGCTCGGCTGACTTACGGCTCGGCTGACCCCCACGCTACGGCTGATCTACGACTGACCCGGAGGGCTACGGCTGACGGTTGACATGCAGGTATACAGGGGTTAAGGAAGGAAGGCTGGTTGAACTGACTGCTGATGGATCATATACTGTAGATAGGTAAAATTGTATAGTTATACTTGTTTGAATTATATGTCTTTAGTGTTTCTAAAAGAATTATTATATAAAATACTATACATTAAGATATATCTAAAGTAAACAGTCCTTCGTTATAATTAATCAGAAGGGATTCTATTATAACTTACGATCGGTATATAATAGCAGAGCGTGATGTCTTTTTGCATACGCGGATTTGACTTCGTCCGCATCCCGATAACCTTGCGGGGTAACTTCATTCTGCAGATCGCCTCTCGTGAAAGATAGCATCGGCATCTACATCGGCATCTCGCGGACGCCTTCCGGCAGTGTCTCGGAGCATAGCCTCAGTTATCGCTGATTCGACCATGAATGCCGCCAGAGCGCGCAGGGTAGAATCTTCTTTGAACATAAAAAAGTGGTGTCTCGTAGACTGTTCGATTGATACACATTGATCCAAGCTTTACCCCATTTCAATCCCAGCTCTGTTGTTGACACTTTCCCTGCCCTTTCAATTCGCTGCTATTTCTTTCGGCCCTCATTGTTCGAGCAACCATCCACTTGGCCATGGCTGTCGAGACATTTGATGTTGCCGTCGTAGGCCTCGGCGCCCTCGGAAGCTCAGCAGCATACCAAGCGGCCATCAAGGGCGCCAAAGTCATCGGCTTCGAGCAGTTCGAGCTCGGCCATGTCAGAGGAGCATCTCACGACACTTCACGAATCGTCAGAACATCATATGGTGCTCCCGAATTTGTTGCTCTCGCTCGCTCCGCCTACAAGGACTGGGCTGAGATTGAAAGGCGTTCGGGGCTAAAGATGCTTACAATTACGGGCGGCGTCGTCTTTCTCCCCAAAGATGGACCGAATGGTTCTCATACCTTTTCCGATAGCCTCGACGCCAACAATGTCCCGTATGAACGGCTAAGTGCTGCTGAAGTCAACCGTCGATGGCCCGGGTTCAATGTTCCGGACAGCGTGGACACCATTTATACGGCAGATACAGGCATCGTCCATGCTTCCAAGGCAGTGACTACCATTCAGTATCTTGCCCGTGGTGCTGGCGCCATTCTCAGGGATAACACCAGCGTGGACGCAGTGGTGCCACAACCCGGCGGCGGCGTCCTCGTCAAAACATCCGGAGGCGACGTCCATGCAAAAAAGGTCATCATTGCCGCCGATGCTTGGACCAACAAACTCCTCGGCCCCCTCGGCGTGGAGCTGCCCCTTACGGTAATGCAGGAGCAAGTTACGTATTACAAACCTAAGCCTGAGCACGATGCCCGCTTCGAGTCAGACAAGTTTCCGGTGTGGATTTGGGGAGGGGCAGGTTCGGATGAGAAGTGGTTCTATGGATTTCCCTTCTACGGTGAGCCAGTGCTCAAAGCAGGCCAGGATGCTGGCAGAAACGACATGGTCCCAGAAGAACGTACCTGGGTTCCTTCGGAAAGACTACGAAGGGAATTAAACACCTTTATTGATGGCCTCATTCCAGACCATGGCGAGGAGTTACGGACAGTTACTTGCCAATACACCATCACGCCTGATCGGCAGTTCATCATCAGTCCTATGGAAAAGCACAAGGACATCATTGTCGCCCTCGGAAATGCTCATGCGTTCAAGTTTGCGCCAGCTATTGGTCGCGTGACGGCTGAGCTTGCTTTGGAGGGAAAGGCGACAGATGATCTGTCCAAATTTGGGTTCTCACAGCCCACAGTGAGCAAGCTGTAATCAGACGGATCTGAAGTAGTAGGCATAGGAGGGGCAGAACGACTGCCATAGTATCGTGCTGGGATGACCCGAGCAAAGACATTTATACTTACGCTTAGTATAAGACCAGAGTATGATATAATGATTCGGAGACTGAATATCGCCATCTATACGCGCAATAACAATGAAGGAGTGGTGATTATAATCCGAAACCATGGTTACCCGTCAGGTCGGGAGTACACTCACTGCATCTATCATTCAATTCAACTTCAGGGAAATGAAGAAATATTGTGCAGTCGTGGGCTGCTAACCTCAGCAATTCTTCAGCGGCTTCGAGTATTTTATGCTGCAAATAGAGCGAAACCCAGATGCCGACGATCTTAACATCAGCAGTGACGGATACAACAGACCTGGATCATTCATAGAAGTAACCGTGGTTCACAAATGTATCTTTTCAGTTCTCCATAATCTTCTTCTTCCTTCTGTTCTACATATAGCCGTATTTAACAGCTTCCTAACTAATGACAATATCAAAGACCGATAGCAGCGGCCTCCTGTACGACAAGCTCATGAATCTCCTCGGAAAGAGGCCGTCCTCGTGGGATCCAGCCTAGCATATGTCTCGCTCTATTGGATATACACAGGGAGTTTGTGCCTAGAAACAGGGAGGAAAACTCCCAGACCTGATCGGCCTCCTCCCAGGTCAGGGAATCCACTCGGGCGTGCTCCAGAAAGCCCTGTGCGACAGCCTCCTGTGCGATCTGCCTGGAGACATCTCCCCACGAGACAAGCCCCGACCCAGCAAAGTAGAAACCACATCGTCCCCAAGTAGCCTGCCAAGCTTCGGTCGCCGCGTCTTCTACGAGCTTGAGGAAGATTTGCGACAGGTCCTGGACGTGGACCGTGGCCCAACGATTCTCCCCACTCCCCACCATGAAGGCAGCTTTCCTCCTCAGGTTGTGGGAGACGAGCTCAGGGACCTGGATGCTGCGCCTGTTTCCCGGGCCACGGCCAGTCCCGTAGATTGCAGGGGGACAGACTATGGCGGTCTTGACGAACTCGTTTTCTGAGCTCAACTGCATGACCACAGAATCCACGTTTTGGTGCGGAGCATCATTAGGGAGAGAAAGGATGTCATCAACACCCTGCAGATCGTCATAGAACCTGTCCCTCCTCGTTCCGTATGTTAACTCATTGACATCCTCAAAGCACAATATGTCGGCACCGGACAGGTGAATGAATGCTTTGGTAGAACCGGAGGCGTTCAGCTGTGACAAGCCACTAGAAATGGCTTGAACAGCACCAAGATGCTCGCAATTAGCCAGGTGGCATACGATATCAGCCTTAGCAACCTGCTCCGCGAGCAGGGTTGAATCGTCTAGGTCTCCCAAGATCACGGACAGGGAGGGGTACCGACTGGTCAGGACAAGGGCCTTCTCAGTGCTGCGTGCCAGGCATGTGATATGGTACTCTGGATGGGCCTCGACAAGGACGCTGAGTACATCTCCCCCGATATAGCCCGTAGCGCCCGTGCTGTGAGTGTTAGTTAGCATATCGGAGGGTCAACTGGCGATGGGCATACGTACAGGAATATCTGCACCATGATGCACGTTGCAGTGCCTTGGTTGTAGTGTAGGATGTTTCTTGAGCGAAGGATTGTGCTGCTTGTTCAAAGCATCAAGACGCAACGTATTGTCAGGGATTTGTAGAATCGAGCGACTTGAAATGAAGGACAAATTACTGTTGTATTTATAATCGAGGCCATCGACATAAAGGGTCACCGGAGCCTATTTAGGAAATTTCGACTGACCAAATCGTTAGCACAGTTGGCTTTATAGTGCTTGAATGGGTTCACGTGGAGCCACAAGACCTCATTCCTCACCATCTCTGGGCTGTGATTTGTTGATCTGCTCAACCAAATGTGGATTGGATGTAGCATTCAGGGCAGAGTCACTTGACGATCAACATTGGCTAAAAGCCCGAGACTTCCTCACCCCATCCATCAGAGCGAGACTTCGGCTCAGGTGCATCGCTCGGGTACACTTAACCTTGTCGGCATTAAATGCCTACTAACACATGTTGGGCCTCCAAGCTTGTCAAAATGACCCCATCAGCATCGAGTCAGCGAATCAGGACGGTGCCCGGATCTTGCTGGCCCTGCAAAACTCGTCGTGTCCGGTGCGATCTCGCAAAGCCCGCATGCCAGCGGTGTCTAAGAGCAGGGAAATGTTGCCAATATGTCCAGGGTCCATTGAAGCGTTCTCCCAGGCCGGTGGTTAACGTACCCGCCTCTTTCCAGCCCGTCGTCTTCCCTGGCGGGCTGGACAGCCCCTCGCAGGAAAAAGCCATATTGTACTTTTACAGGCGGCTCTGGCCTCTCCTCACTGCTTCCCTTGACCCTATTCCACCTCCCCTGCAGGCTTTTGGAGATCATAAGGTCGTGCTTTTGGCAACCGGTTTGCTTGCCGACTCGCATCGCTTCCTCCAAGACAAGCGGAACCGCCCGCCCGATACCGTGGAGAAACGCAGACAATGCATAGAAGCTGTGAACGAGGAGCTCGGCCGTTGCTCTGCGGATGGCACAATCAGCATGCAGCCTCTCTTGTTTGCCATTCTCCTCCTCTACTTTTACGAAGGGTACATTGACTGTTCGCGGTGGCCGCTCTCAACATTGATTCACCACGGGGGTATTCAAGCAACACTCGAAAAGATGGGTGGTTTGGAAAGGGTTCTAAATCTTGGCCATGAATCACTTCAGGTATTGGTGTCTTTGTTCGCTACGGCAGACCTCACTTCGAATATGCTAAGAGGCGGGGTGCCTTCATTTTCTCCCCTTTCATGGCGCTTGTTCCATCCCAGCTCGGTATGGTGGCAGCAGCACGTCTCGACCGATGAATCGTCCCCAACATTATCTCTAACAGACGTCTTTGAGCAGATGTCTGCCATGCTGCTCTATCGACAATCTCTTGGTAGTACCGGAGCGCGGCCATCCACGGACAGGATCAGAGTATTCGAACAAGCACTCCAACCTGCTTATGCCCCCTTCAAATCACTGAGCACGAGCTCTCTGGCCTCCACTGATTCATCATCTACGTCACACTACGCTTTCATTCGGGCCTACCAGCATACAGCACTCATCTATCTCTACAGGGAAGTGTGCGGTCTGTCAACGAGTCATCCACTAGTTCAACAACACGTCGATGCTTGCCTGGACACCATTAACATGCTTTACAATTCATCCAAGGCCATCAATTGCCTAGTCTTCCCTCTCTGTGTGGCCGGGTCGCATTCGCTGGCAGTCCCCCGACAACGCCAGATCTTGAAGATGCTGCTTGCCGTCCAGAACGAGATGCGCTTCACGTCCTTGCAGCACTTGATAGAATTTCTAGAGGCTTGTTGGAGGGTTAAGCCGGAGGAAAATTCGTGGCTGGAAACTTTCACAATGTTGAATAAGAACATTATCAGCTTCTAGTTTGTGCTTGTAACCCTGGCATGGCTTGCTGAGAAAATAAGAAGGAGATCTGTATAATCACAGGTTCACGGCATAGCCGTTATCGTAATTTGAAACTGGGTGAGGGAGCACATGGCTATTATGGTGCTTGAAGTAGTAGACATAAACATGAAACTGGCGTTATATGCCGCATAGCTGCCTGTGGGGAGCCCGAGTTTCTACAAATCAATGGAATAGATGGTAAGGATATAAGGAATGGGAATCAAGAACGTAAAGCCCGCTTCAATCCAGGAGCAACCTTTCATTCTGAATAGTTCCTTCCTTGTTTCGGGCGAGTATAGCAAGGGGCCAGATCTTTGGATAATCTTCGTAAGAGCTACGTCAACCAAGGTAAATCCAGAGATAATTTGAAGGCAATTAAAGATCAAGATTATGAATAATAGGTAAAAGTCCCACCAAAGCCTCCCATCCCATCGTTTGGAATGCAATCATCACTTGGAAAAAACAAAGGTCTCTTCATTGGGATCATCGCTCATTTCCTTGCTAGAGAAGCTCGCAACCTTGCCGTGAATCTTCAAACACGGAGGAAGGTCATCACCGTGGTTGTTGGGAGGGCTGTAGCATTCATCATTGTGCAGCCGCCAAACAAGGGACTGGTGCATCACAGCACCAGGAGGGATATCGCGCGTCGAGCCCTTGTTGAGCGGGAATCGCACATCAACCCAGCCCTTCTGGGTCAATTCCCAGCGCGTGATAATTGGCAGATATTCTAGTCGTAATTAGTGTGACAGTTTTGACGATTGTGGTGCTTGATACATCACATGCTGTGAAGGACTTACCCATATACTTCCAAAAAAGAACCCGGAGAAATCCAGAGCCACGGCCGAATGAGAGGCAATCGTGCATCACAGCTCCAAGCGCATACGCCCTTTTGGCTTTGAAGTGCTCCTTGAACCTGGCCAGGCTATGGCACCATTTGACTGCAGCTTTTGGGTCTTTCTCGCCCACAAGCTCCAACTCGCGAATCATCCACGCGAGCGGGATGTCACTCATCTGCAGACGGTCGCAATCAAGGTCATGACTAGCTTCTTTTGCTTTGCGAGACCAGAACAGATTTTTGACGCGCTGCCAGAAGGTCATCTTCTTCTTGGAGTCAAGTGGATTATCAGAGACTGACGGCCAGCCGCCTCCGACATCTCCGTGGTTACCTGGGAACCAGACCTCTTTGATATCTTCGGTCTGGTCGTTGGATCGTTTAATATCCTGCGCGAGCAGAGCTGGCTTGAACTTGACACGCCGTTCATCAATGGCCACAGCGTGCCGGATGTACGTGGCAGTGCCCAGCACAGGAACGGGCACGGGCGTCTTCTGCTCGAGGACTGCGACCGAGTTGACGCAGTCCCAGAGTCCTAGGAAATACACCTTGATATTGGTGTGCTTTGAATGACCATCGTCACCGAAGACAGTCTCATTTCGGCAGAATGTCTGACTGAAAGCGGAGATTTCGTTCTCGGCAAGCATCGTGCCATGGCTGTGCGAGAAATCATCTCCGATCCAGGCAGTGTCGCCTTGCGAGTCCCCCTGATGAGCATCTAGGCGATCTTTAATATCTCCTGCCAAATATCGCTGGTACAGCCTGAATGCAAATGGGACCATCTCCTCATTTCCTTTGCAAAGCAGACCAACGGTATGGATCATACGCGCGAGGAACTTGGCAGTGAAAGCGCCACGACTGAAGCCAAATAAATATATCTTCGCACCCTTTAAAAAGGTGATAAGCAATACGTTAACATATAAACACTACGATCAGGTGGGAATTAGACCTACCGATTCGTAATATCGCATAAGGAAGCGATATCCCGCCATCACATGGGCATCAAATGTGGTGCCGAAGCCTTGATCAATCGTCTTGGAGAAGGCGCTTTTGAGCTCGCCGAACCAAGACTTGTTGACGGATTTCTCATTGATGTCGTATGTTCCAATACCAGCTAGCATTAATCAGACTCAGAAGAACTCATACCATGAGGGTGATTGGCTAGTAGTAGAGGACAGGCAGTGAATTCGATGGATATTACTTACTCTGATAATAGTGAAATTGATCAGGATGGTTTCGATCCAACTTGCTGAGGAGCTTGACAACGTTGGTGTCGGCGTTCGAGCCGCTGAACTCGTTTCCCGTTCCATCAAAGCAAAGAACGAGCTTCTTCGGTTCCGGCTGCATTGTCAGAGAATTGATATCTGGCATGATGGATAACGATGAAGAACTGAAAGCTGAACTGAAGAGGGTCACGAGCTAAACATTGAAATCATCAAGCAAACTATACTTTTCTAAAGTGAAACCCAAGCGCTCGTGCATAATATTGGATGCCTCCATTCAGCTACGAAGGATCGATGATCTATCACCGAATCGAACATCGGATTGGCCACCGGTGTGAACAACCGGATAATTGTGGTCAGCACTAGGTCGCATTCAATAGTCCAGGTGTGGCTTGCATAGTACATTCGACGAATCATTATTTGCTCGCGAGCAAAAGTTGAGTGAGCACAGTCTTGGCTTGTGATCGAGAACCGTCCCGGCCAAGCCCAATATGCATGATGAGATGTGTCCGCGTGATATAGCTGCCCAACTCGGGCTGAGCTTGAGGTGGTGGTGCATATCGGCTGCCGCTCTGTTTGGTGGTCCGGATGTTCAGCCAGCCACCGGCAATGCTAGCTCCTGCACGGGCCGGAGATCTATTATCCCATTAGGCGAGCACTGCCGGATAATGAACCGCAAATACTGGCGGGGGAGTCGTCCCGTCGAGCGAGGTGCATGAATATAGTTGCACATTTACGCGTGTAGACCAATAGCATGGGGTTGATATGAGATGTGTTGCACATAATTGACCGTGTTCTTCCTGCAACGAACTTATGCTGCAGCAAGCCACAATATCAAATCATCCTCGTGTTATTGGTTGATCACAGGCCGTGCCAATGCAGCAATGCGGGGTGAAGTCTTGGGTGAAGTCAACATAATCACGAGGAGAAGACATCAAGTGCTCATTGGGCGCCTCTGTCTCAGCTAAACGCCTCCGGGTTTCCCATGTCTTAGTAAGAAAGCCTCCGATCATCTATTCGCATATAGGACGGCGAGACCGGCATATACTGTATTACCGAAACTCATCGCTGAGCGGCGACACGTCGACGACCTATGCACGTACACCTTTAAAAAGTGAAAAGTTGATATGTCAAATTTTTCGGCCCGCAAACATGAACCCAATCTTCAGCCGTCTCCATCAATAAAACTCAAGAGGGAAAGCTATCCATCCGGCTAGATATGGCTCAAGTATCAGCTGTCCCCAGTTTGGGTAGATAGGGGTGGCGCCACACGTGTTGAGCCTTTTTCGAAACAAGAAACGCAAACGCCTCTCGGGAGGGGACTGACGAATAATCGAACGGTTGTTGAAAGTCACAGCCATCATAATTCATGGCATAACTCGGGCATGCAGGAAGCGGGGTGTGCTCAGCTCAGCTCTCAGGCTGAGGGTGTCTCGGATGCTGCTTCCAGATGGCTTGGCTACATAGCCGACTGCAACCAATGCCGGCCGGTGAAGCCGTGGCCATTTCCTATGTAACAATGGCGGTGACGGTGGCAATACGGAATATCACCGATTGCGGAACAAAGGCAAGATGTCTCATTGGCTTCTAAGAAGGCTTCGCAAGATATCGATGAGCTACAAAACACCGAGTAGCCCTCAGAGGTTTTCGATCGTTCTCCTATTGATATGTTCACTAAGACGCAACCATGAACTTCAATGAAAAAGTACAGCATGGAGAGGATTATGGTGATGCGAAGAAGGAGAGTTCTAGCCTTCTCTCTGATCCACTCAAACTAGCTACGGACCTGCTCAAAGACTATGCAGGTGTCCGAAGCCAGGCCTCTCTCGGGGAGCTCGTAGGCCTCCTGAATGATCTAGCCCACAAGGGTGAACCTATTGATGATAGAAAAGGGTAAGTGTGTCGCTTGTTACATCATAAGGGAATCTTTGACTAACCATCGAACCAGAACAACTGAATTGCTGATTGGCATTCTTACTGCGTTGCCCTCTACATCAGCTGCACGCACCCAGCTCACAAACAAGTTCATCGACACTCTCTGGAGCAATCTCCAGCACCCGCCTCTCAGTTACGTTGGCGGTGAGGTCAAATATGAGGTGGTGAATTCTCAAGATGGTGCTACTACCCAAAAAGCCGGCAAGCCATACGATATCATTGAGTTCAAAGCTCCTGATAGCGATGTTATTCTCCGTGAGCAGGTGCCTGTGGCGCCAAACGGGATGCATCAATATCGCATGCCTGATGGGAGCTTCAACAATATCATGGAGCCCCATCTAGGTAAGGCTGGTACACCTTACGCGAAGACAGTCCGTCCTCAGAAACGTCTTCATGGTGTCAAGCCTGATGCTGGACTTCTCTTTGATTTATTGATGGCTCGTGGCGGCGACACTTTCAAAGAAAATCCGGCTGGTGTCTCGTCCATGCTGTTCTATCATGCTTCTATCATCATCCATGACATCTTTCGCACCAATCGAACAGATATGAACAAGTCGGATACCTCGTCGTATCTTGATTTGGCTCCCTTGTATGGGTCATCTTTGAGAGACCAGCTTGAGATCCGCACCATGAAGGAAGGCAAACTCAAGCCGGATACTTTCCACGAGAAGCGCTTGTTGGGCCAGCCAGCAGGCGTGAACGTCATGCTTGTCTTGTACAGCCGCTTTCACAACTACGTCGCCGACATTCTTCTCAAGATTAATGAAAACGGCCGCTTCACTCTATCGTGCCCGGAAGGGTCGAGCCCAGAGGAAAAAGCCAAAGCAGTCGCCAAGCAGGACCATGACCTGTTCAACACGGCTCGTTTGATTGTTGGTGGGTTATATATCAACATCTGCTTGCATGACTACCTTCGAGCCATCACCAACACTCATCATTCCAAGAGTGATTGGACGTTGGACCCCCGTGTTGAGATAGACAGCAAGCAGTTCGACAGTGATGGTGTTCCACGAGGTGTTGGAAACCAGGTCAGTGTTGAGTTCAACCTTCTCTACCGCTTTCATTCCTGTATATCCAAAAAGGATGAGCAGTGGATCAACAACTTCTTCTTGAAGCTGTTCCCCGGGCGCAATCCCGATGACTTGCAGAATGTGAGTTGGGGTGACCTCGGGCAAGCCCTCTTGAAATTTGAGCAAACCATCCCAAAGGACCCAAGTGTCCGTACATTTGATGGTCTCGAACGCCAGGCGGATGGCACTTTCAAGAATGAGGACCTTGTCAGGATTCTCAAAGAGGCCATGGATGACCCAGCCGGGGTATTTGGCGCTCGCATGATTCCCAAGGCTCTCAAGATCGTCGAAGTTCTCGGCATCAATCAGGCACGCAAATGGCAAGTCGCCTCGTTGAATGAGTTCCGAGAATTCTTCGGCCTCAAGAAATATGACAAGTTCAGCGAAATCAATTCCAACGCGGAGATTGCCGGCATTCTGGAAAAGCTGTACACTGATCCCGACATGGTTGAGCTGTACCCAGGTCTCATGGTTGAGGACAGCAAGCCTTCTCGAGATCCAGGCTGCGGCATCTGCCCAACATATACTGTGGGACGAGCCATCTTGTCCGATGCAATTACGCTTGTCAGGTCCGACCGGTTCAACACTCTGGACTACAATGTCGCAAACCTGACCAGCTGGGGTTACAACGAAGTGCAGCAGGACCCTAAGACACTCGGCGGATCCATGCTATATAAGCTGATTCAACGGGGCGTCCCTGGATGGTTTCCCTTTAACTCAGTTGCAGTCATGCAGCCGATGTACACAAAGAAAGCCAACCAAAAGATTGCCGAGAAGCTTGGCACAATCGACCAGTTCACTCTCGATGACCCAAAACCTCCCCCAACCATTATCGTCCTCTCAACCCAAGCTGCAATCAAGCAGGCTCTGGAATCCCAGGATTTTGCTCTCCCGTGGCTCAAGCCGTTGAATAGCATGTTCCCAGGGAAGAAAGACTATGATTGGTACATGCTGGCCGGAAGTGAACCCCGCAACATCGCCCATCGGGATAGCTTCTCCAAAGCACTGGGCAAGCTCCCCAACTTGAACAAGGCTCTCGCTGAGATGGTTGCGAGGGTGGGAGCAGAGACGATCGAGAAGGAGAAATTCACCCTTCAGCAGGGACTGGGCCAAATTGATATTCTTCGAGATGTCGCCATTCCAGTCAGCACTCGCTTGCTTGCAGACTTGTTTTACATGGATCTGCGTTCCGACGAGAATCCAGACGGTCTAGTTGGTACGGCCGAGCTGTACAAGCATCTGTTGAACATTCGGATCTGGGGTGCCTGCAACAATGATCCCGGTCAGGCATGGAACCGTCGTCGCCGTGCCCAAGAAGGAACACAGTTCATAACAAACTCGACCCGCAAACTCGTCGATGAAGTCTTCACTCATCGCGGCTTTGGCTTGGGTATTGCATCTGCTCTCTCGAGCCGGTTTACCCGTAAAGCTCATCTGAAGCCTGGGTCGCTGAGATCTTGTGGGTATCAGCTGGTTGATGAACTGCTTGCTCAAGGTAATTCGCCGGAACTAACCGTGGATAACTTGTGGCTCACTGCTTTTGGTGGCGTGGGCGTCATATCGACAGTGGTAAGAACCCCCTTCAAAATACTCCATCATGAGATATCACGGTTTATTGATGACAATTCCTAGTTTTATGAGATTTTAGAGTTCTTCCTGCGCCCTGGAAACGCATCGATCTGGGCCGAAGTCCAGTCTCTGGCCCACCAGGGCGACGACGAGACGCTTCGCGCATATGTTATTGAGGCTCAGCGTCTCACTACCACTCAGCGCACTATGCGTATTGCGACCAAGCCGGTGGAGTTGGAAGGGAAGAAGATCCAGCCAGGAAACGCAGTTGTTATGTTGCTTGTAAGCTGTCCGTCCTACATGCCTCCTTTCCATGCTAACCGTCATTTTCAGGGAACAGCTGCTCGTAACGCAGCTGAGGTCCCCAACGCGGATAAATTCGACCACAAGCGTGCACCTGTCAATATTGGCCCATTCAGCCACGGTCAGCATGGATGCCTCGGAAAGCAGATAGCTCTCACTTTCGTGACCGGGATGATCAAACTTGTTGCCGACCTCAAGGATCTACGCCCAGCGCCAGGTCAGATGGGCCAGGTCAAGTCGATTCAAGTAGGATCTGACAAGGCATATCTGAATGACAGTTGGTCATACCTTTCATTTGATCCAAGCAGTAAGTTCCAGTAGCGATCTTATTTCTTTAGCCTTCATGAATTCAAAATTACTGACGCTTGGATAGCCTGGAAGCTCCATTTCGACGGCCGTGGCAAAGGCACATTCGAAGGGGAGAGAAATCCAACAACAGCCTTGCCCATGCAGCAGTACTATTACATGCTTCAAAAGCGCAAGGCTGAGCAAATTGAGTGATGTCACTGTACTAAGTAAAATATACAGTGTCTCTTGTGCCGTTGAGTATTCTTCTTCACAATATGACAAGGCTGTCAGTGGATGTTGGCATGTATTTCGGACGAGGCTCGGGATTCGGATTTGCTTAAGTGACGTGAATTCAAAAATGTCAAGCGGGCGATATTGAACTTGAGGCACAAGGATCAAAGCACTTTCTTGTCGTCGAGTCTATAATTCGTAGGGTCAAATTATCGAGAAACGGTACACGGAAGACTGTCGATTATATCATTCTCTATTGCTGCAGTATTCTGACCATCGTAGGAAGTGGTCGCCCTTCATTTTAATGTCTCACTCATCCCTCATGCGGGGTATTGTCGCTTCAGAGGACCCCGAGAGGATAATTTCACCAATGATACACGACGGTTTATTGAGAGACCAGAAGCCCCGCCCAGTTTCCCTTTCTCTTGAGAGGCTTAGGCGGGTTAAGATCCGGAGCTCTAACTTTTCCCATGGGGGAAATTGCCTCTTTGAGATTTGTATGAGAGGCGTGAAGCTTCGAGATCCATAAATGTGCTCCGTCTCCACTGGCCAAGTCATGTTTGGTGTAGATCTTCCCAGAGAGGAAAAAGTTCCCCGCGGTCCATCGGAATTTCTTGCACCTTGGACTCAATCTAGGAGGGGCAATTAGCATGACGCGAGCGAGCCTCAGAATGGAGTGTCCGTCCCGGGATCGAGGTATAAGATCAGGGGCGGGAGGGAAGGACAGTCTTCACGTGGGAAAGTTATTCAGAGACACTTGTATATTTCCCCTCCGCCAAAAACTTCACAGCTGAGATTGAGCTTCTTCAGCCACGATGACTGAGATCCTACGCATCCGAGCGACTTGGGGAGTCGATGGAGGGAAGAATTACGAGAATTTCGCACGATGGTTCCCGGAACTGAAAGCCAGAGGATACGGTATGTCTCTATCTAAAATTGAGGAAAATTCCCAATCGCTAGTTCCCAAACAAGGCATAATGCACAACTAAACCTGTTGGAATATTTAGCTGGCATTGAAATCAACGTCAACGGAGAATCAGACTTCCTTCCAGATCTCCCCGTGCTCAGGAAGGTCTGTGACGATAATGGACTGGAAATCGTTGTTCAGTAAGTTCAACAACACCACGCATAGGGCCGTAACTGGATGATTAGGAATAGCCCTGCCCGAAGAAGTGGGATATTTGAATTAACAGTATTAGGGTTGTTTCCCACTGGCCACACGCAGCTGGTCCTCGGCCTGCTGGTCTTCAACCACAACAACATGTGGAATACTACCGAAAGCAGTTGGAGAAGGCCAAGGAATTGCGCCCGCTCAAGATCAATGCGCAGTCTGGCGCGTACGTATACTCCAACTCCAAGGACAAATCAGTTTCTGCAAACGACGTCGATATACTAACCAGTAAGTACAGGGACTATTGGACCCTGGAAGAATCTGTACAATTCTACAAGGCCACCATCGAGATTGACGCTGAGCTCGGCCTTGCTGGCAAGGTAGTCCACGAGACGCACCGCAACCGCTCTCTTTTTACCCCATATGCCACAGCGCATATCATTCGCGAAGTGCCCAAGTATGAGTGCCGACACTTGGTAGTGCTTAGACACATTGCTAAACATCAGTACAGGCTTCGCATTACTGGTGATTTCTCCCACCATGTTGTCTGCTGTGAGCGGCTCCTAGATCTCGGAGAAGAGGACAAACAGCTCCTCACGGAGATAATCCCACATGTAAGTCACCAAGAATATTTAGAGAGGTGTTTGACTAATATCATCCAAGGTCTCCCATATCCACGCCCGCATTGGGACAACGCAAGGCTCTCAGTGCCCGGATCCATCTGACCCCACGTTCGTCGCTGAGAAGACGTTCTTCGACAAACTTTGGACCAGGATTGTGAGGGACTGGTCTAAGAACAACCCGGGTGCTCCCGTCACCTTCACTCCTGAATACGGGTAAGTGTTTTACCCATGTACTCATTATCAGGTTGCTCCGCTTACATCTTTCTCAGTCCCTACCCATACCATGCTTATAATGCTGTGAGGGATTATTCAGAGGTTGCCGATACGGAAGGGGCCCGGTTACAGAATCTCTTCCAGGCGGCACTCACCAGTGCGAACTGAAATTACTTTAAAACGCCAAGGGTTCTCTTCCAGCAAAATTAAACACACCATTTAATAACTACTAGAAGTCACGGCAATAAATAACAGACTGTCTTTCTAGATAAATATTGTCGCGCAGCACATGCTCCAGTTTACAGCCATTCAAGTAGTAGATGAATTAGTTGCAAGTCGATGGCCGCCCATTACAATATAATCTCTACCCAACGTCTTTCATGACAGCAACACTCGTGCTTAATCTAGCATCTACTGAGTTTAGGAAGATCGCTTAAATCATACAATGAAATAAGACATCTTTAACCCCAAATAGATAGCCCGAGACACGTTGTATACTGTCGCAGGAGTGCAGAATTACAACTCTCTTCGGGTACTGATTCCGAAATACCCAACCACCCCGCTGACATCAAATGCACCATCCTCGGATTTGCCGATTGGTTTGGATTCGTTCCTACAAAGGTACAGGTCTATGTGATAAAACGACGGAGGTATATTTTGTGACCCCGCAGAGGATTAGCCATGGCGGCGGGTTTGTCTCTCTCGCGATATCCTTGTTTGGGGAAATTTTAATGAGAGACAGTACTGGTCCGAAAGCTCATGATAGACACCCTGTCTGGACATGATCTTATAAGAGACATCTTCCAAGCCATAGTTGGTGGGCTTCCAAACATTCAGTAGCCACAGGTTTCAAAAAAGGGCATAGAGACGACCAACAAACTGCTTCCTTGGCCGAAAAATTCATCATCGAAACCAAAGCCTAACCATACCCTATCACAATGGAGGAGCTGAAGATTGCCCGCATCGACGTCTTCCAAGTAGACTTGCCTTACAGAGGCGGAGTCTACCGCCTGTCCGGAGGCAGAGAGTACAAAAGTTTCGATGCCACCATCGTCCGAATCACCACCCAAAATGGTATCGAGGGCTGGGGAGAAAGCACACCATTCGGCTCCAACTGGATTGCATCCCACGCCCTCGGCGTCCGGGCAGGCATCGCTGAAATCGCACCCAAATTAATCGGCTTAGACCCTCGAAGAGTCGATCGCGTCTACGATGCCATGGACGCGGCCCTGATCGGCCACTCTCACGCGAAGACAGCTATCGATGTGGCTTGCTGGGACATATTTGGCAAGGCCACTGGACTTCCCGTATGCGAGCTTCTCGGGGGCCGCACGGATGTGAAAATGCCAATCATCGATTCGTGCCCAGTCACCGGTCCAGCCGAGACGCGTCAGCAGGTTGAAGCATTCCGAGCTGAGGGATACACGGGACATTCTCTCAAAGTAGGCGACGACCCTACGATTGACGCTGAACGAATCACGGCGGCTCTAGCAGACAAGAAACCGGGCGAGTTCTTCATCGTCGATGCCAACGGAGGAATGACTGTTGAGAGCGCTCTCCGGATGCTGAGGCAGCTCCCTCCCGGTCTTGATTTCGTTCTGGAAGCCCCGTGCGCTACGTGGAGAGAAACGCTTGCTCTCCGACGCCGGACTGACGTGCCGATATTCCTCGATGAGCTGGCTGTTGGCGATGAATCCATCATCCAGATCATCGCCGACGATGCGGCGGATGGCATTGGACTGAAGATCTCCAAGAATGGCGGCCTGACCAAGGGGCGCCGCCACCGCGACATCTGCGTCGCCGCGGGCCTGACTATCAGCGTCCAGGAGACGGCTGGGTCGGAGATTGCCTTGTCTGCCATCGTTCATCTAGGACAGACTATCCCCGAGCGGAACCTGCGTACCATTTTGGACACGCGGAGTGTTGTGAACCTCACGACGGCTGATGTGGACTTTAAAGTCGTTGATGGACGTATCAGTGCGCCTACTACGCCAGGCTTGGGTGTGAGACCTCGTTTGGATGTGTTGGGAGATCCTGTAGCTAGCTACTATTAAGGGTACATGTCTATACCATAGATTCTTACACGGTATCTCACATTACTCGAATCTCACTCATGACACAGCTAGGTTAAACCTTTGAGTGTATCAGAGTCAATAGTAGCTCTTCATATCAAAGGCAGTTTGCTATCTTTATGTGAAAATTGAAAATGATGGGAGTGTCGTACTAAGTCAAGACTAAGAGAGCAGTCATGTCTGGTCATATATTCTGTATTCAGTCTCGCTTCTCAATTGCAGCAACGATGCGCTTCAGTCCTTCATCTAAATAGTCCCGCTTCTGTGAAAACACAATCCTGAACCAGCCCGGACTCTCAGAGCCAAACTGTGCCCCCGATGCCAAAAAGACCTTCTCACCAAGCAGTGCGTCCATCACCACCTGGTCGATGTCTACACCTCCCTTCTCTTCCAGCCCTGGATGTGACTTGCGATACGCCGCGCCCAGGTTCAGCCAGAGGAAGAAGGCAGAATTCACCCCAGGTGCGTACTCGAAGCCCTGTTCTTTAGCCCAGTTGGCGACATGCTCAAAATTGCTCTGGAGGGCCCGTTGGTTCTCCTCAATATACTTGTCCACCCACTCGTCGTCGTTCAGCATGTTTGCCGCAGCGCAGTCCGTAATTGCCGAGGTCGAACTGTAGAGCGACACCGGGAGCAGAGCACGGTGAAGCTCAGCGTTATGCTGTGATATAAAGGCACCCAGCCGGATTCCGTTGGCGCCAAAGTCCTTTGACATGCCCCAGATGACATGGACCAGGCTCGGATCGATGATGCCCGCCGTCTCAATGGACAATGCCGACTCGAACGGATGCACCTCCACGCTGTCTACTGTATTCGCGAAGGTGGACAGGGCGTAAATCTCATCACTGACGAAATGGATCTGGTGCTTCTGGCACATTTTCATGAGCTCGATCAGAACCGCCCGCGGATAGCACCTCCCCAACGGGTTATGGGGGTGCGCGAGTATCAAGCCCGCCACTCTGCCACCGTTGGCCTGAACCTCGAGGATCTTCTCCTCGTACTTGGACACGCACCCAGGTCCAATCGGGCCCGTCTCGGGACTAAACTCGACCTGTGCCAATTTAGTTCCCATGCGAATCGTGACATCCGGTACAAAGGTGCCATAGAACGGCCTGCCCAACAGGAATGAGTCACCAGGGTTGCCAAAGGCCCAGGCAGCATGCTCAATGGCCGAGCTGCAGCCGTTGGTAGGCGTGATATGAGCGGTGTCAACAGGAACGATCGGCCTGAATTTTCGGTTGAGGAACCTGGCCAATGTCGAGCGAAGATGTTTCTTGCCATCTCCATACGTGAAGTCGCTGCTGACGAGAGAAATGTTCCGCTGGATGTGCTCCGCCAGTATATCGTGCATCAGCACGTTCTCAGCGAGACCCAGGCACACATAGCCGTCGGGTTTGTCCTGAGGATGCCATGGCTTCTGTATGATCTCCCAGAAGAAGAACTTGGGGTCGGGCTTGGCGAGCTCCTGCGCTCGGGACGAAAGCGCCATGGTCGTCCGCTAATATGAGATCTATGTTCGGGATGGAGGTGCTTCCGCTTCGTTGTAATACCTCGTCAAACAGTCAAGAGAATAGCCATGCCAGTTGCCCAAGTATTTTATCTCTATACGAGCCCTCACGCCCTTGATTGACCGGGACCCATCCGCGAGTCATGCTGCATATTGAGCGATACCGGATGATGCCGGTCCCGCATTCAAGCTTTTCCTTCTCCTCCCCGCGCGAAAGTGTGTCATAGAATCAAAAAGTAATTCGCCGTTTACTTGTATTCGCCGCTCACTTGTAGTTACGTAATTCCCTGGCCACAGCCATTCATTTTCTAGAGGTGACTTCTTCAAACAATCATATTTTGACTGTGCCGATATCAGACCCCGACGTCGACGCCGGTGGCTTCAACAACCGAGGCAAGGCCGACTCCTCTTCGTAGATCCTGTAGTTTAACTCACATACAGTAGTGTTGGCGGCCACTATTTGTCAGTTCTTGATACTCGTGCGTGGTGTGTAGTCTGCCCAACCCAGGCCTCCTCATCGCATTGCCTCTTGCAGTTTCTAACCTATGAGCTCTTATCCGAGCAATGACTGATAATGGTAAAAACTGAAAGATTGTAAAAATATGGTATGATAGAACTTTCAATTCATCAAGGTCTATATATTTCTATACCTTAACGTCCTCAAATGCTATTTTCCCTCTGCTTGCCAGCAGAAAAAGGGAGGTAAGGGAGCACCAAAAAAAAAAAAAAAAACACCAAAAAGATAAAAAGCATATCCGAATAGCGCCTTGATCCGTTATCAGGACCTACATGTACCAATCTAAAATTTCTCCATAAAGTTCATCCTGACGGTCCACATTCTAGCTCGCTTTCCGTAAATATACATGGGAATCGTCAAAAGCATAAGTCCAAGTTGGATGATGCCAATCCAGATGTACACCATCTTGGGACCGTCATCAGCGAGCCAGTGGGTAAAGAACAGACTGAAAAGAAGTCCGTGCAGAATATTCTTGGAGAAGTTGAGAGTGACGAGCGCCTCTCCTGCGTACTGGCGGTAGCTGTCCACGCAAAACGTGATCGAGGTGGTCGAGCCCAGACAGCAACCGAAAGAGATGATCCCGAAAAACAGGGTCGGAACAATCCAGTGATCCTTGAGAGAAGCGGACCATCCAAATCCCATGATACCAATGCAGGTAGTGATGGTGATGGGAATAGCCATCACAAGGCGGAATTCAGGCTCATACATACCACCATTGCGTTTTGACATCGCCTTGACTATCACGTCGCTGATCTTGCCAGCGACTCCGGTGCCCAGGATTCCACCAACAAACGGAGAGATGTACACAAGGCCAGTCTGAAGCGCGTTGAAATTATAGAGGTCCGGGTTGCCGTAAATCATGGACAAGGACTCCGAGATGACAATCAGCCAGCCGATGGAGCACGCGTAAACGATCGAGGACCACAACACCGCGGGGTAGGCAAAAAGAATGAACGGGCGGGCCATGGCCTTGAGCCATTTGTCGTTATTTAGGCGGCCATGGAATGGTTTCAACTGCTGAACAAATGACCGGGCTGGCTGCTGTTTGAGATTGTGGGTGTAGGCGTGGATCTTGGGAGGCTGGTTGAGTCTAGCCGCAAAACCCTTCTCTTCAGGAGAGAAGGAGCCGATGGGTGAAGATATCCCGCTCCCATCTCTAGGCCCTGCGTCGTGAGCAGAGGTGGGTCGTGTGAGTGGTGTAGACAGACGCGTCTCGTGCGTTTGGGCTGCCTCGACAGGGGACACGGGCTCATGCGCATCCCCGGAAGCAGTTAGTTGCGACACCTTTGGGGCGGCGTCGCCTTTCTGAGAAGAGGGGTTCTCGAGGTCTTCCTTCTCAGAGATTGAGGTGGGCGCGAAACCAACGTGAAGCGCACCGGGCCTCTCCGGGGCATGATGAGTAGCCGGCGGACTTGTGGGAGGAATTGGGCTCGTGATGGGTGGGGTGTGAACGGGCGTATGCGAAGTATGTCGCGACGAGAGGCGGCGGAGGAAGTTGGGTCTTTTGTGTGCCTTCCTGTGGGGGGTTCTATCCCAGAAGGTTTCAGGTACGAAGAAGAAGAGGAGAATGCCAGCTCCAGCAACAATTGCGGCGGTGATGCTAGGCGAGGTTGTTAGTACATTAGCCATCGCGATTATGGGGGCCGGTGGCGACTTACTAGAATACCCACCGCCATCCCAGACTGTTGATAATGGCAGCGCTGACCAGCGGCACCAAGTTCTTGCCGCCCAGCAGCAAGAGGGTGTAGATGCCGATGCGGTAAGCGCGCTCGTGAAGGAAGAAGATCTCTGCGATGGTTGCCGAAGGCAGGCACTCGACGGGGCTCACTGCGATGCCCTGGAACACCCTCGCGACGAGAAGAGAATTGAAGGAAGGCGAGAAGCCGGACCACAGACTGGCACCAATGAAGATGAGAACGCTGAAGAGGTAGACTGGTCGCTTGCCCCAAAGAATGGCCGTTGGCGAAAAGATGACTGACCCGACGCCCAGACCCATCATGTAGAGCCCGGTCGTCAATGCCACTGTTTCCTCTTGAACGTGGTACTCCTCGGACACCTGGTGGAAGCCCGCAGCAAGCAAAGGGGTCATGCCGCCACCAATCATGCAGTAGAGACCAAGAGACAGCAAGGCAGCGTCTCGTCGCCATGCAGGCCAGTTGAGAGGGTCATTAGCAGAGTCATCTGGCTGCGGCTCGAGAATGACGGTCCCATCATCCGTCATCTTCTTCTCCTCAGGTTCTGGTTCAAGGCCTGGAGTCCTGGACCCCGAGGCGGATGCGACCGGGGTGTGGCTGCCAGGCGACTGCGCCTCTGGGATTCTGGTGCCCCCAGGCGAAGTAGGAGAGAAAGGAGGGTCGACGGGAATGGACGAGTGCGAGGTCCTCGCGTGCACATTCTTGAGGCCCAACGGCTGGTTGCGATGCTGAGCAAGAAGGAGGACGGATCCTGGGGAGAGGTTAGTAGAGTGTCCCTCGTCTCCAGCAGCATGTTCAGGGATACACACCAGGAACCTCGACGGTGTCCGGATCATTGAGCATGCCCATACTCCATTTCGGCGGGTGAGGTCGAACTCCTCCTCTCTGGTCGCTGTCGTCGTCGCCCGCGTCGGCGGTGGCGGAGGACCGGAATATCTTCAGCCAACGGGAGCCCCCCGCGGCATTCTGCTCCTGTGCCATCACGGCCGCTGTGACCGTCTAGTCTGCTCTGCTGCAAAGACTGCGACGATAGCGTGGTCCAGGCAGAGCGATGAGGAGGATGACGACGCTGATGGCGATGAGTTTTGCGAAGGAGAAGAAGGAACTAGCTCGCCATTACACTTTATGATATTTGGCAAGCACGAAATAGCGGCTCCGAAGGATGACACGTGCAGCGTGTCAGGGTCCTCTCACTGATGCTCAAGGGGGGGCAGGACCCTCCAGCCACTGTGGGCCAGGGTCTGACCGCTGGAGATATCCACTGAAGGAGCCTGCTGGCGGCGCCGCATGACCTGAAGCTAGGACGTCATCCTGCTCAAGCTCGGCGTCCTGCAGCGCGACGCCCGCTAAAGAAGCTGCGGGAATGGCGGTAGCAGCGGCTGTCCACTGCAACCACTGCGGAGGCTCTGAGCTTATTTCCCTCTAGCGCGCTGCATCTCTGTCAGCTGGCTCCGCCCCAGTCGCCAATCACCAACTCCAGCAGCCAGTTCCCTTCGTGTTCTCCAGGTCACCAGCTGCTGCATGATGTGTCGCATGCAAAAGCGCACCGCAGATCATTCTGTCACCCGCCGAAATGACGTACTGCCGAGGGCGAACGCAACCCGCCGGCAGCTGGACTGCATACGAGTATTGGGGCCATTATCACCACTCCACTTCAGCATAATCTTACTTGCACACACGTCGCAGAATAAACTCAAATTGAAATGAGTATGATTTCTTTTTTCTGTACGTAAACCGTAGGTCAGTAAATAGCTACTAAACTACAGAGTATACACGAGCTTTCCAGCGCTGACCTTGCCCGCCCGCAGCTCATCCATCCCCTTGAGAATTCCCTCGAAACCAGCACCGCCCCTGTTCACAATGGGGTTGGGCACCTTCAGCTTACCCTGCTCCAGCAGCTCCTGAGAAATTGCCAAGAACTTCTTGGCAAATTCAAAGTCCTCGGGTTTGGGCAACGTCTCCGTACCTTTAAAGTACCGCTCGTTGAAGATCGTGTACATCATGGTCGCGTACGGGCCGTCCACCTTGGGGTTGACGGCATGGAGCTCCTCCTTCGTCACTCCGATGATGGTGGCGTATTTTCCTCCGTCGCTGCTGAGGGCGCCTGCGGAAATGGCGGCCCCTTGGCCTGTGCAGTCCCACGCGAGCTTCAGGCTGTTGTTGGTGTATTTGCGGATATCATCGGCCACGGTGGGTGACTTGTAGTCAAAGACGGCGTCGGCGCCAAGAGACTTGAGGTAGTCGAAGTTGTGAGGGGAGGCTGTCGCAATAACCTTAAGTCCAGAAAGCTTGGCATACTGGATACCGAAAATGCCAGTCGCCGTACTGCCGCCGTAGATCAGAATGTACTGGTCGTCTTTCTCGGCCGCGTTTGGCAAGGGCAGGCCCAACGTTTGGTACAGTCCTTGGCCCTACAGGAATTAGAACCTGTCAAATACCAGGAGACCAACAGGCTACTTACAACTGTGGAGAGAGAAATGCCAAGAGTCGCAGCCTCTACGTCGCTGAGGTTATCAGGAGTCTTGATCTGAACGTCACCCTTGGCGACGATGAAGTTTGAAAACCCTCCGTTCTCTATCTGGGTTCCATCACTGAGAGAATATTAGTCGGACGTCTGAAGCCGGTTATGAAGAGTATCACCAACCTTCCGTGAACTGCACCGCTAATACGATCACCCTTCTTGAACGCCTTAGTGACCTTGCTGCCCACGGCTTCCACAACGCCAGCGTAATCGCACCCAACTCGCGATCCGGGGTTTGTAATGCCAAAATCAACATGCTTCCAGTCGGTTGGGTTCACACCGACAGCATTGACCTTGACCAGAATGTAGTCATCTCGCAGTTGAGGTACGGAAACCTCCTGAACGGCAGCTTTGCCCTTCTCGACGTAAACGATCGCCTTGTTCGCCATGTTTAGAGATAAAAGTAAAGAGAAAGTATTGCAGAAATTAGCTCAAGGAGAAGGAGAAGTCGGTGAGGGGTTGCGGGAAAACAAGGAGTCAATAAGCAGTTATCCCTGTCAAGTTGTCAGTTGATTGATGATCCGTCTCATGAGATGATGGCAGCAACGTCTGCTTTATACTCGTTGAAAAGTGCAAAAGATAGCAAGAGAACACATCAATCCAAACCAGCCATTTATAATCAAACAGACCTTAGAATTCCTGATAGGTTAAATCCCGACAAGCGTCGAATTTGTCATCACCACGGAATTACGACATGATGTTGTTCCCGCTTTGGGGCGGAATGTGGATTCTTCAGATCCCCCACATCCTCTTCAACATCGAATGCCGCTTATTCAACTAGAAGACTGGGAAGAATTACGGCAATGATTAGATTGTGAGAAGATGCCTGTCAAGCTAATTAGATTTTCTGCATTGCTGCGTGATTAGTTGTAGTTCTACGAAGCCGAGACAACCCTTGTTGAAGAGGTATTGGTGTCTATGGGTTTAGACTTTTGATCCACGGCATATTTTGAAACACTCACGCCACATACTAATACCTTAGGTAGTTGGTAACTAGCAGGGGAAATCACATGATAAAATGTCTGATAGCTTTAATTATTTTGTAATGTACCCATTCTGTAACGACGAATAAGAGATGAAATCGTCGCGACGACGTTGTGTCATGGTATAGGGTAGGTATGCTGAATTGGGAGGAAATGTGCGACTAAGACTGCCCCTGGCAATAACAAAACAAAACCTTGCCCCAGTCTATTACGCGTTGACTCATGCAGCCCTGACGCGCTCCAGCCGATGTTTGCAAGCCATCCTCCATCCACCCTCAACTCGTCCCAACGTCAAAGACCTGAAGGGTTACTTTGGCCGCTGCATCCGGCAATTTAGGCGCGATCGAAACCACGCACTATGGCGCCTACCTGGACTTCGACGGAGATCGGCCGAGCGACCATAACAATGAACACTACCAAGATCATGGGCTAACGTATTGTTTCCATGCACTCCACGTCGCTATATTGAATGGGCGCGTCAAGGTCTTTGACTATACAACGTCTTTGGCTAGCTGCTGGACAACGAGATCGTCGTCGTCTCGAAGTGCATTTGCACGTGCCTGGGTCCGGTCGATTCATCCGCGTGCTCTGGCCTTCGGATACGCGTGCCTTTGACTACGGATGCATCACTCTCGATTGAAGATGTGTTCGATCGGCACTTCGACCGAGGGTCGTCAATCAACGCGGTGGCAGGGAATGCAGACACCAATTGTATCTCCTGCTACAGGGGGGCAACCCATGCAATGAGATGCTCGCTTTCCATCATTGTTTTGTACCTATGTCCCAACGACGGCCCGTCGCAGGTGCAGTTGGCGGAAGAGCTTCTTGCCCGGGACGTATCATTCGACGAGTCGATCCCGAGAAAAGCTGATGTTGGCGATGACGATGAAGAGGACGACTGGCCGGTAGGAAATAGACAGCGGAGGCACTATGCTTCTTCTCTGCCGCTGCCTCATAGAGTCTGGAACCCGAGAAGCCTCGTCTTGAAGCCTGGGCCACCTTCAACTTGACGGGTGATACAAGGAGCTCATTGCATCAATAACAAGCAGGCCTGGTGCATAAATGAACTTGACCTGAGGAAAGTAGAATGAATATTATGCTAGATAGCTGTGAAAAAGTCGCTGATGATCGTGTGGCACGCTTCCAGCACGTGAGAAGCGGGAAATTCGTATGATGAAACGGCGGTTGTTGATGTCGGTCGCGTATATTCGGACTGGAAGCTCCGTGAGTTGTTGCCGCCAGCGCTTTGCCGGCATTCTTAGACAGTGTCCATGCTCTGTGAGAAAAGACAGCGGACGGTAAGACCGAAATAGTGGCCCAACACCCAGACGCAGTCAGCAATGAGAAGCTGAATCCAAAGTCGTAGGGCTGTGTGCTGTGCCCCAGCCCCCTGCAGGATACATGAAGAAGCTGCCAATGACAAGCATTTGCAGATCCCGGTCCAAAAAGTAGAAACAAAATGACATTTTGCGGACAAAACACCATCAGCCGTAGCGCGTCCCAACACGCACAACACTGGTCGCCCGTAGATTCGGTGCCCAACATGAGCGCTCCCTCTGCATCGAAAAGCCCGTCGCTACTTGTCCAAGCGACAAGAGAAGGAGAGAGTCCTGTGTCAATGAGAACACATGCCGTCAAGCGAGCGAGGCTACGGTAAGCTCATGATCTCAAAAATCAGAAGCCCCCAGCAAGACCACTTACCAATCTTGAAGGCTGGGAAATGCCGAGGGTCAGGCATCTACAGGATCTGAGTCGGTCACAATTAATACGCTCCTTGAGCACGTCTCACCCCAACTCAGTGAGGCAAGTTTCTTCTCCTTGACATCAAACTGATTAATGTCTAACAAGGCAATAGGAGGACGAGCTTCAGATTTAGTGAGTATCCTTTCTTCATTCGCCATCAAATCCAATGATGCTGACCCTTGTGGTAGCTTTCTTCCCCATGTAGCAGACGACGCCGAGGGCCAGGGTTTGGTTGGTGATGCTGGTTTATGCAGAGACCTCGAAGAGAAGCTCCATCTGGAGCCCTTCTTCTTGACGCATCAGGCATGGAATTCAAACGGCTTCTTTATTGATCAACAAGTGTGTCGATCTCAGAGCCAGGATATTAACAGTACGCATTGAAGTAACACCCAACTCAATTACTCCTCAATGCTAACAGGCCGTTCGCACAAGGCTATGCAACTCGCTTTTTAATCAAGTTCCTGGGACCAGATGAGGATGCGACGGTACTGTACAACCGCTGGCTATTTTTATCCTTTTCCGTCTTATGGGCCAGAAATCACCATACCAAGAAAGTGTCCTGCGTCCTTGTTTGCTATGATGGGTCAGAGGAAATAGAAAGCGAGATCATGAGAGGTTTCCAGCAATACCCTCTGACGAACATCAAGGACAACCCGTACGCGGTCTATGACGCTCTCCTCCGTATTATCATCTGGCAGTATAACAAAGCACTCTGGTTGTTTCGGGTGCCCATTCGCACCATCGAAAAGGCAAGTAGCGTAACTGTTTAGTATGAAGATATTCAGCTAACAAAACTCGTGAAAGACTCGTGTCCGGGTTGTGCAACGCACCATGGCACTGCAGCCGTCAGCTGGCGGCAAGAATGTCATGAATGTAGGAGACGGCCACCAGGAACTGTTCGAACTTTCGCGTCACACACTACATATGTGCGAAACTCTAGAGGTGGCGATGAGAACAACCAGCCAGGCCCTGCTGCAGGTTCAGTCGCAAGCTCACTCAGCAGAACCTGAAATGGTATCTTCAATGCGCCTGGCTAATACTATTTCTGGCATACGATTTTCCTCCAGCTTCCTTGAGAATCTGAAGAACAGAGCCGACGTCTTTGCTAAAAGAGTAGAAAATGAAATCAAGTTGGTGAGTAGAGCTTCGCCAAAACCACCCTGTTTGCCAAATTGGTACTCATACTTGATTGACTCATAGGCGGACAACATGGTCAACGTCTTGCAGTTGAAGATCAATCAGGAACTTCTTGAAGAATCTCGCGACGAATCAAAAGACCTGACAAAATTCGTCACTAGCCTCACACTCTTTTTCCTTCCCATCACTTTCGTATCTGTAAGTGGAACATGCACTCGGCTTTGCCAGGACGCAACTGACCCATTGCGGTATCATAGGGTTTCTGGGGAATGAACATGATTGGAATGGGTGACGATAGGCTGATATTTTTCTCTCCCCATATCTGGATATTTGTTGTGTCGGCTGTGGTTTCAGTCGTGTTGTCCTATGCGGCTTGGTACTTGGTCGTTAAGTTTACCAAAGCCGGAAAAAAGTGATTGGAAGATGATAGTATTTAATCTTGAGGTAACAGACACAAAATTATCCATATGATCAAACTAGCTTCTGTTCCTTAATAACACTGCGGACGGGGCTCTGCGGTTGTTGATCTCAAGAAATTGCTGATGATCCTTAACTCAAATACTTGTTGTCTCTATGTTTCTTAATCCCGCTACGCAGTCATCAGTTAGTTTTCTTACAAAAATGAGTTTAGGTTCTATAAAGCCCGCACATTGCTCATGAGCTCGAGATACGTTGATATTTATTGTTGAGATATGAAGTCTAGTTCTATGGTAATGATCTCTATATATGAGTAGAAGAAAAGAATTCTGAATGTTTGTAAAAGTGCCGTTTGCTAGCCTCAGTGGAACAATGCGGTTCAGAACGGCACACTGCCCCCCTCTCAACTTCTCTCCCGTTGAAAGAATGAAGACAGCGAAATAACATTATTTGAAGTTCCTGGCACTAGGTTCAACCGCCAACAGCAATGGCATGGCCAAAGAGCCTCTCGCGTTTCATACAGAGAGCGGCAAGAAACATGACGCCACCCGCCATGGGAACAAGCAAGAATGTAATTTTCATCGCATCCGTAACAGCTTCTGTGGCCCTCGAACGCAAGTCGTCCTCTAGCTGCTCGAAAAGACTACTGGATGCACCGGAAATGACGCTTTGAATGTCAGCATCTGAGAATCCCTGACCGGCCATGACCGATTGCAGGTTCCTGGTAGCAGTTGAACGAAACACCTGGCCAGCGATGGCTAAGGCAATTACCTGAGCGCCTATCTGGGACACACTCTGGAGAGCAAGGCCAGATCCGGAGTCCTGCGGTGAGACGGTGAGGGTCGTGACAGCGAAACCAGACAACATGACCAAGCCTGTGCCAAGGGCAAGAACGACCAACAGGCCGTAGATCGTTCCTGTCGGAGTCTGAGGATGAAGGTACACAGCTAGAAGGGCACCCGCAATGGTGATGAAAATTGAAGCGATGATGTACATTAGCATGTAAAACTGAATGGTGCTTAAGAAGTATCCAGAGAGGAGATTGATAGTGATGCACACGGCCAGGAACGGGAGCAATCTCACAGCGGCTACTAGAGCGCTGTCTCCTTGGACAAACTGAAAATAGAGAGGTATAAAGTAGACTGTCACAAAGAGGGATGTGATGCCGGCGGCAGTTGTGATATAAAGGAGCACTTGGGTACGTTGACGAAGTAAATGGACTGGAAACGATTGGTTTTCGACAGAGACGAAGATTGGAACGCCCTGCTGCACCGCATAAAGTACCAGCGAAAGGCCGAAGCAGATAAAGGTCGCGATGGTGCGCCCGTCCTTCCATGGCCATTGCCCACCGGCCATGGTGAGGGCTAGAAGAAACGAAGTCCACACGCCAGACCCGAGGATGAAACCAACCCAGTCCAGGCGTGCCAGACGATCCTTAACCGTGATACCATGAGAAGGGTGGTGAGAGGGTAAATAGAAAAGGTAGGCCGGCGCAGCAACCGCACCGAGGACGAGGTTGATATAAAAGGCCCAGCGCCAGGTCGCGGCGGAAACAGAGAAAGCGCCACCAATGACTGGGCCGAGGACTGCACCGATCCCCCACCAGAAGCCGATGAGGGACATGTACAGGCCACGCTCCTTGGGGGTCGTCAGCAGCGAGTAGTAGACGAGGGATCCGAGGTAGATGCCGTTGCCACCGGCGCCGGCGATGACACGGCCGACGATGAGGGCGCTCATGCTGGGTGCACCGCCGCAGAGAGCGGACCCAACCTCGAACAGGATGACTGAGATGATGAAGATCCATTTTATGTTGAACATTTTGTAGAGTGCGCCAACGGGGAGGACAGCCACAACGGAGCCGAGGGGGAAACCGGCGCCGAGCCAGGTGAGCTGCTCGATGTGGCCAAAAGCCTTGACGACGGGACCCTGCACATCAGCTGCAATGGTTGTATCGAGTCCGTAGAGGAAGCAGGTGATGTAAATGGAGATACACATCGCGAACCAGCGAAATCCGCGAACCTGCCTCACCGGTTCCTCATCCACGGTTGTTCCTGGGCTCTGGTCGACGTCTTGTGAACCATCGGTCAAGTCTGGAGATACTGTCTTCTCAGAATTCTTCTCCACGAGATTTTGCATCTGAGGCGGATCAGCTACCTCCGTTTTAACGTTAAGATCTTGCATTTTTATGGAGTAGTACTAGGAAGTAGGGGTTGAATAACACAATAACACAATATTCACGAAGCGGGGCTCTCATGTTAGGCAATTTCCTGACTCGGTGCGTGGATGGATGTTCTATAAAAGCCTTTCGATATTGCTCGCTCTCTCTACTCACACAACAACTCTACCATGGCCTGCGTCCTGCATGGGAAATAATCTTACCCTGAAAATCCACACCCGGAGCCTCGAGCGTGGAACTCACGGGGGCTCGGAGCATTAAGTAGATCATTATTTGAGGTTCCGGGACATTGACGGTTGCAATCTCGATTACTGGATTACTGGGTGGTTTGTCATCTTGCCTCCGCGGAAGCCCTCATCAAACCGGACCATCTCCGGGCTGCCGAAGTATTACAAATGTTGGCCGCAACACCTTCTCTTTGTTCTCTTCCCCCAGCTTTCTCTTGTCGGATCAACTCACCCAATACCGCCTGATCTAGAAATATTAGGGATCATTACCGCAAGACGAACCCCGATAGCGAGTAATTTGTTGGCCATGTCCTGATGGAGGCTCCAACATATGCTCCGACTCCACTAAGGAAGGTGAGCCAGCCAACCGATCGCGTATTTAAGGATGGTGAATGCATGTTGCTGTGACTGGATGTTTGCTAAGCATCATTAATCATACAATAGACCTGCGACAAGTGCTATCTCCGGAAGATAAAGTGTGATCGACAGCAGCCACGATGCTCCCAATGTGTCGCCGACATGTCAGAGTGCACTTACAAAGCCCCAAGCCGTCCGTCACGACCCCGTAAGCGGCGACCGGCGACTGGGAAAGCCCCTGAACCAACCCACATGCGGGCATTTGTCGAGCAGCTGCAAAGTCAGGTGGCGGATTTGACCAAACGCCTCGATGAGGCTAAGGAACAGAAAGACCAGCTGCCTGTTGTAACCAAGGCGACCAGGGGGCCAAAGCCAACTTTAATAACGTCACCAGTAGATGAGTATGGTGGCTTGAGCAACGCGATCGGTTCGATTACTGGTTCGAAGTCGCCTCCCTTGGAGTTGCCGCCTTTCGCCGAAGTAATGCCCGCCGTACAGATGTATCTTGACCACTTCAATTCAGTAACTCCCCTGTTTCACCCTGGTACTTTGCTGGGCCTAGTCAATGATTTCTACGAATTTCCAAACCGCCGAGATACCGCGTCTTGGGCTGCCATTAACATTGTGTTGGCCCTCACTTACAGGCAAGTCATGCTCGGTGGTTTGGGAGTCGATAATGGCACGGACGTGGCTCTTGATCATCTTAGTAAGGCCCAGTCCGTCCTCTCGGATTTGCTTCTTGGTGAACCAAAACTGCTACACGCGCAAGTTATCCTGGGTATAGTTACCATGCTTCAAATCTCTAAAAGTTTGCAGCCGGCCATGGTCCTCATGGGCGCGGCGATGCGTCTAGTTCGCGGGCTTGGGCTGCATACACGTGCTTCTACGGCTCATCTTGATAGCGAGACCGCTAAAGAGCACACTTATGTGTTTTGGATTGCTTATATCCTCGACAAAGATATCAGCATGCGGGTGCGGAGTCCTTCCATTCAGGGTGATGATGAGGTTGATGTTGACATGCCCATGGCTGCCATTGACGATCACCGGGGCGCAGATGGCAGTAAGAGAAAGTTGGACGGTGGTGTGATTACCACGGTGAATGGAAATGTGGCAATAGACTTCTTCTTGACCCGCATTCGTCTTGCCATCATCCAGGGGGGTGTTTACGACTACCTCTACTCAGTACGGTCTCAAGCACGAAGCCCAGAAGAGCGCAACCTTGCAACTTCCAGCCTCGTCAATGCCCTTCAAGAATGGCAATCACACATCGCGCCAGAATTCGATGCCGCGTCGGCAGCTGGGAACGTATCTCCTACCGCACTCCCCTTTATTTGCTCACTCCACGCCACTAGCTTCGCCTCTCTCGCGATGATTAATGAGGCAAACGCCTGGAATCAACAATGGGTGATAAATATCCGCAAGTACCCCGGAACCTGTGCTGATCTTCATCCGCGTTCCCGCTGGGAGCCGCTGGTGGAACATGCAAGGGATTTTGCTGTCTTGTTCGAGAGCATCCCTCCAAGCGGCTATGCCTTGATCTGGTAAGTTATTTCATGCCTATTCTCAAAGACTGAATCAAATTCTGCAAAGCCGTGGCAAGTAATCACTAATTTTATTCACTTGGGCTAGGGAGACGATCTGCGCGTACTTGACGGCTGTAATGCTGGTGGCGGCAAACAATGCCCACCGTCCATTTTCAGATAATATGCTCTCGGACATGAAACTTACCAGGAAAGCTGTTCAGCTCGTCGACGACATTTTTGGCAGTCAGACCTTCCCGGAAAGCGGCCAGGTTCATTTGGTTCGGAACGCATGTGCCGACTTGAATCAGAACGCGCTGAGAAGGTGGTATGAGAAATTCGGAACGGCATAAATTTATACGAGTTTTTTTCTTGTAAACCAAAAATACGTGCCCAGAATGAGAAATAGTTCTTCGATACGAGAACCGTATCTTCAGCCTATTTTCAACGTTTAGGAAAATGTTCATATCGTGCCAAATCTGATGAGAAGAAGAACGGAGATTTTAGATTCGATTCCATCTTGGTATCAATGCCTTCAAGATTGAATGTGCTCATCACGATTGTCGTCATTTCTTAGTATTCCGTAAGAAGGTGACACGAATAATGTAAAGTGATAAATTGCTCTTCCTAATTATTCAATTGGCCGTACCCAACGAAAAACCAAAAGTCGGGCTGGGCATTGTGATACGATTTGTGTTACGAGAAGCACTTATCGCCTCTTCACGAACATCCAATGTGCCAGTAAATTTGAATGTGGCTAGTTCGTTCTTGAAGCGGGCAATAAAGTAAGGAAATTGCCCTCAATAGGGTCTGAGAGTTGTATCAGTCAAAATCTCCAACATATTACTTGGCGGGCCTAGATTAGCCGGCCTCCCTACTTACGGTAGGGGGGGTCAGTAAGTAGTAATTTCACTAGTAACTTATAAAAAAAAAAGTAACCTAGTATATCTACTAAATTTAGCAGGTAGTATATATACTATCTTTTTAATATATATCCTACTTATATCCTTAGCCTACCCTATTAATTTAATACTAATATAATAATTTTTTTACTTTATATAATATATCTATAATATATTATTTAGTATAACTCTATAATTAATAATATAATAATTATAATTAAAATTTAGAAAAAATATTATTAGATTTAGAATTAAATAATAATATTACTATATATAAATAGATTAATTTTATAATAGATAAACTGGTTTTCTTATAGTTTACTCCTAAGAACCTTAAAGAGTATATTATTATAGTAGTTAAACTCTTCTATATCTGATATTATAAAATAATTATAGCTATAAGTAAGGGGTTCAGAATACTATATTATTATCTTTAAAGCTATATTTAGAGTTATTTAAGTATTAATTTAAATAGAGGGTATAATATACTTCTTAATAAAGCCTAGATAAAAGCTATAATTATATAAGCTTACTATTAGATCCTAATAGGCTTTTATATTTATAGATACTAACTTTATTAATATATTAATACTATCCTTAAAGTATTAGGAAGTTAAAGGATAGCTTCTAAATAATAGTATAATTACTTTATAAAGAAATATAGAACTATATTTTATCTTTATAAAGCCCTTTTATATAATATAAAGAGAAAAGGTATTTAAAAATAGATTATATTAACTAATTAGTTTAATTACTTTAGGAGCTATCTATAGTACTATTATATTTAGAATTATAATATATAGAATTTTAATAAAACTAGCTTTATAATAAGATATCTTAAAAAAGAAATATTTATCTAGATCTTTACTAAGATTAACTAGCTAATCTTAATAGATATATATAATAAAGTTAGTATTATAAGTATTAACTATATTTTAATTACTAAAGTAATTATTTCTCCCCTACTAATTACTCTTAGTATTTAAATTCCTATTAAATAAGTTCAGAATAACTTTAAATTAGATACTATTATTTATATAAGTATAAAGAGATATATAACTAATATAATTACTTTAGAATAGATTAAGTATTTTAATAAATATATAAGATCTAATAACCCTAAGGAAATCTAGATCCTATTAATAGATAACTAAGAATATTATCTTATAAATAAATTTATTAAGTATTCTTATTTTAATAATATTATACTCTTTCTACTATTACTAAATTTAATATATTATCTTTAGTTTTATAATATTAGTATTTTTAGTCTATATAAGTATTAGTATTAGAAAGTATTATATTAAAAGATTATAAATAGTATTTATAATTTTAATAAAACTAACTTTTTCTTTTATTTTTAAGAAATATAGAATTATATATTTAAGAAGTTAAATATTCTTTTAGCTTAGAAGTAATATAGGCTCTTTATTATAAATAAAGACCTCTATCAGGCTATATAAAGTTATATATAGTATAGAGCCTTATAGAGGCTATAACTAATAAACTATAATTTATTACTCAGATAGAGTAATAGATAAATAATAAGTAAGTAATAACTCTAGTATATATATATATTTATTTATTAGTTAGAATACTCTTCCAGATAGTTATTAATAAAATTATAATCTCCTAATAATATTATCTATATATCTATTATTATTAGTTCTATAATATTTATATATTAATAGTAACTTATATTATATAGTCTATAATAATCTAATTATACTATTTAGAATAATATTCTAATTAGTTTAATTCTAATTTACTTTAAACTAGGTTTAATATAAGTTATCTAATTATTATATATTAATAACTCTTATTTAGCTAATTATCTTATCTTAATTACTATATAATAATAAAGAAGATAAAGATAGTTCCTACTAAACTTAATAATACCCTAAAGAAAGAAGAGCTAATTACTAAATAAATTATTATATAACTTATAATATAAATTAAATAGCTTAAAAAGAAGAATATTAAGAACTAGAGAGAAATATTTTAACTAACTCCTTTAGACCTCTTTTTAGAAGATACTAATAAACTAAATAGATTTAAAACTAAGCTTTAAGTATATTTTAAGTTTTTTCTAATAAAGCTTAAAGATAAAGAAGATAAGATTAGGTTTATAGGAATATATTTTAATAATACTATAGAATAATAGTTTAAAGCTTACTTTAAGAATTAGTATAACTATAAAAAGAAGCTTAATAAGTAGAACTAAGAAACTATTAATATTCTTACTAGTTATAATAACTTCTTAGTTACTTTTATCTTAGTATTTAGTATAGTAGATAAGGAATAATAAGCTATTAAGAAACTTAAAGATCTATATTAGATAGAATTAATCTTTAGCTATATAATTAGATTTAAGGAAATTATTATATAATTAGATTAGAATAATAATTCTCTTAAGGCTATATTCTATAATAGATTTAAAGATAAAGTTAAGGATTAACTATTTAAAATAGATAAACCTAAAGATTTATTTAACTATATAATAGCTATAATATATATTAATAACTATCTATATAAAAGATATTAGTAAAAGGAAAATAAATAAATTAATTAGAATTATATTAAAACTAATAGATCTAACTAAGGAATATAATAAATATTACTTCTATCTATAGAATCCGGAATATATATAGGTTCTATAGAACTAGGATCTATAGAAAAATATAAATACTATAATTATAATAAGATTAGATATATTTTACCTTAGTATCTATAGCTTAAAAAGTAGAAGAACTAGAAAAACTAAAAACCTATTAAGAAAGAAAAAAAGTAATTTAATATAATAGGAAAAACTAAAATTAAAACCCTTAGAATAATTAAAAAGATCTTTTAGAAAGGAATAAAAAATAATATTAAGATCTTTAAATTTTCTATTATATATATACTATACTTTATAAAAATATTAGAAAACCTAGAAAATTAAAAATATAATATAGTTTAAGAAAACTAGTAAAGAATTATAAAAATATTTAGAATCTTTAAAATAAAATATAAGAAAAAAAGAACTAATTTAAAATATA